ACACACACACACACACACACACACACCTTGGACTGTAAAAACACACCTGCCTCCGCCTATATGTCAGGGGGAGTGTGTGACAGTCCAGACTCGGTTTAACTTCTTTAACAAACTGAACAAAGGGCTCGTAGGAGCAGAAGCAGCAAGTCACTGTGACAAATTACTGCAGACATTAAGAGACGTTGTACTCAAACGTGTCTGCAGCTTTTCTTGACAGGATTTATTTTAGCAAAAACACAAAATTTCCTTTTTACATTGACTTAAAATATTGATGAATTTCTGCTTCATCGTCTCACAGAGAAAACTAATTAAAGCTAATAAATGTTAAATAAACAAAAATCTCAAGTCAATCAACTTCACTAGTTTTTGAAATACTTGGACTTGACGAAGTTTGTCTGCAGCATATGTTCATTAAAACTACTTTACATCATCTTTGAATCTAATAAAATACAACACATCAGAGGAGGTGAACCGAGACAACGTCCAGGCTCTGCTGATTGAATTATATCAAGCCTGGTATTTAATGGGCACAGAGGAAACGGGGGAAATTCTCGTAAATCAGATACGTCATGAGGCTGTTTCACGAATTATGTGGTTTGTAATTTATAAACAACAGCTTGAAAAACTGTGTTTATACAAAATAAAGACCCACTGTAGATTTACTGGAACGACACAAAAAATTAATAAGCAAGACATCTATATTATTTCATGTTAGTGCACTCAGTGCTCAGTATTTTTGATTTATATCTGTCATATACTGTTAAATATAATATAATGTAAAAAAGCTGGAACCTATTTTCAAAATAACTGGCAATGACAGATTTGCTAACTTTTAAATTTCACATTAATAAAAAGTAAAAAACGACATCCTGGCAGTAAGGAATTTGATTTAAGACTAAAATCAAGCACATCGATGTCAGCAAGGTGCTCTGAGGACAAGTTAGAAAGAGAGAGGAGGAAGGCAGAGAGACACTGACACAGACTGGGAGAGGAGACGGAGAGACCAGCAGAGAGAAAGAAAGCTGAGAGTCAAAGATCTGACGCAGACAGCAAAAAAATGGAGGAAAACAAAGATGAAAGGGTGATTCCAGGCAGTAGTGGATTGTTGGAAGAGTGTGAGAGGATTTGTTCTCTGCAGTCTTGTTTACAGGAAGTTCTTTAAAACTTCCACAGATGGCTGCATTAACAGAAAGGCTTTTTATTGCATTTTTTCCAAGCCCCATAAACTCCCTATACGTTCATTTATGTGTGGGAAAGTATGATTGCTGCTGCTGCTGCTGCTTGGCTGAAGGTTTGGTCTCATCTCAGGCTTTTGTCAGAGTGATCGCACGCTCACTGCAGGATGATTGCCACAAGTCTGGATATGTATTCTGTGTGTGTGTGTGTGTGTGTGTGTGTGTGTGTGTGTGTGTGTGTGTGTGTGTGTGTGCGTGTCTACCAATTGGTTTGAGCTCTAGTCATGATGATACTTCTGAGTAGAACTGTATGAAGTTAACGTCCAACATGTCCACACTACCATTAATATCATTATGGTATTAACACTAATGCAATTACATTATCTGGGTAAACATAGTAAACTGTTTTTGCCGGACGGAAACATATTTCTGTTTATTTTTTTTAAGTAACATCATTACCACTGAACATTGAACTTATTAGTTGATTGACAGAAAATGAATTGTCTTTCAGTCATCAGGAGTCCAAGACAATTCTGAGTTTGAGTCACAAAGTTGAATCTGAGTGGAGACTCCACTACCTGAGTGTCAGTCCTATGACTCTGCGAATCACATGTTTCAGGGTGTCATCATCAAACAGCACCATCACTATCACTGACAGTGTGAACACGAATCCTCTTGTTATCTGGGGCACATACACGTCTGCCCCTGCAGCATATTGAATAAAGTTACAGTATTAGTATGCCAAATATAGCATTTGAGTATATAGCCTAGTACGTAAAAGTAGTAAGTCCTCATCTCCAAAGCTAAATACAGTCAGTGATCAAGTTCAAATCCGAGCTCCTGGACTCAAGCAGGCTAAAACAATCAATCATAGGTTCAATGTTTGCATTTTAAAGGGTCTAAAACTTAAAGATTTATGGCTTCTCTTCCTTTAACTTCATTGTTAGCTCAATATTTTTAGGATTTGTTTGAACATAATAAAACATTCGAATTATCTCAACACATTTTTACAATTTCAGTAATTCGGCCAAACATTCAAATCTGTATTATTTTCATTTAATAAATCAAGTTGAAAATACAGATTTTTTTGTGAATATGAATTTAAAAAATATACAATGCAAGTATGAAACCAGCCCTGTTCATTATTTCTGGAAATCTCCTTTAGAGCTTCATGGTTAAAGGGTCTGTTTCCATGCACCCAAAGCATTCATTTGGTGTTCCAGTCCGGGCTGTACCCAGGACACTGAGTCCACAGAGGGCTCTTTAAAAAGCTACAGAGGCATACATTACCCACGGTACCATGTTGAGAGGTAAATAAAGTTAAGGAGTCCTTCAGGGCTGTTTTGTCTCCACCTCTACTGGGTCTGTAAGAGATTTAGTGGGAAACAAATCACTTCAACAGAAGTGACTTGGCTGCAGCAGCCAAACCACAACCAAATTATTTTTGTTGATTTATTTCACAGGCAAATGTAAACCCTTCCTATAGCTTGTAATTAGGCCTATTTTTAGGCTTTTCCATTTAGTTTGACACATGTTGACAATTGAGGCTTTATATGTATAAAAAAAAAAAAGATATATGGAGGCTGAAAATCAGAGCAGAGCTCTTTAACATTGATCTAAATCATTATGCAGTTGGAGAATAAACATCATGAAATACTAGTCTCTCAAATTTGTATTTAAATAACTCATAATAAGCTCAGGGAGGAACAACCTCAGATCAAAGAACATTTCAGAGCAGTTTCTTCTCGTGAAAACCTTGTGATCACTTGTTATTGTTTAGATCTGGTTCCAATGGACAAAAACCATCATCTTCATTATGACTCAAACCAGCTATGAGCTGTTTTATGTCTTCAGTCACATGTACATATACAGAAGTAAACCAGGGTCTGCTACTTTTACAGTTGCCAGGGGGAAACATGGTAAATGAACTGTATAGCACTTTTCTTATTTACACTCAAAGTCATTGACACTACAACTCGCATTCACCAAATCAGGCACACGGACGAAAAAGCCCTCCTTTTTATTCTATCGTACACATGTTCATACACCTTCAGCACAGACATCAGGGTTAATTTGGGGTTCTTGCCCATGGACACTTCAGAATGCAGACTGGAAATACCTGTGATATAACCAACAACCTTCGAGTTTGTGGACAACCCACTCTGCCCACCTCCAAGAGTCACCAATATAACATGACAAACATTATTTGGAGTAGAATAGAAACAAAATAGTGAATGGTTTAAACAGTAAAAAGTGTTCTTTTGTCTCATGTTGACGACCTGCTGCTGTAAGAAGTGACTTTCCCCAGTGTGGGATCAATAAAGCTCATCTTATCTGAAAGTAATGGAAAATGGTTCGAATAGGCAGTTAAATCCGTCAGTCACAGATTCAGAGTCTCTCCTCTCAGGCTCCTGGACACACTCACAATCATCTTCTGACAGTGAGAGAAACTAAGTACATTTTCTTCGAGTTCATCGTCTTTGACATCCGTGACTTTTGGCTGTCTGACAGATTTTCTCTCTCTGCTTCAGTTCTACAGTGTCATCAGCATCAGCAGATTTCATAAACTTGTTTTCAATTGCAATTAATTAATTTCATCCATGACAGCAAAACACATCAACCTTCAACAACTCCTGCAAAACACTTCAAAGGTCTTAATAACTCAATGCAAACAGACTTGAAAACATCCATTGACATATGATTTATATAAACACTGACATGGTCTTTGTTCAAATATCTGAACACAAATGTCGAATTTGTGCTCGTTCCGCTGTAACTTCCAGAGTAAACAACACAATAGGAACAACACCCCTTGACGACGAAGTTATATATCGTAGGTTTAAATTGCTAAACGTTTGGTTGTGTGGATGAGGAGGCACGTGGGCTGTGGAGGAGCAGCAGACAAAGACAGTGGAAACCACTGGTCTACAGGATGTGTTTGACCGAAAGACCAGACATTCCAGATCAGATTTGTTCTGACATTTTGTTGGAAAAACTATTCTGGTGATTCTGTTGCTCCATTTAACTAAAGATTCTTGGCTTTGTCTTCAAAATACTGTGTGCTGACTTCTCACAGATCCTCAAATTTGGCATAGGAAAGTTAGCTACAGGCTATCTAAAGCTAAATCTCTCCGTCTCTACAGCTCATCTATTAAGCCCTGTTAAAGTTCTCACTGTCTGCTCTTACGTCACGTCGTCTCAGTCTGCTCCCTCTTCCTGTGTCTGTGGCTCCGCGCCAACTGTAACGGCACCTCAGGAAACCCTCTCCTCCTCTCTTAAAGCTTTGCCATAATGCAGTGCCTCCTTTGTCCACACACTGACGTGGACACTGTGGCGCCACCACTTGTGGCTCTGGATTAAAGCCACGTTAGGATGTTGACAAGAGGTCAAGTTACAGAGTCCTCATCCAAACCTTTGAACATCAAGAGCAAAGCGGAAAAACTGACCCAAGAATCCAGTAGCCTCAGTTTTTATAGTGCAGGTGATCGAAAGCCACAGGTCAAACTAGGATAAAACAACCATGTGCACACACTGTCCAATCACGTGTGCCCTTGGACTGCTCCCAGAAAAAGTGTCTAGCCAAAATACAGCACAGCTGAGGCTGTTAAAATCACGGGGTAATCACGAGAGATGGCCGTGGCTCATAGCACTCCACACAGCTGAGGAGGAGCAGACATTGTTTGGCTGTGAGTGAGGGCTCCCCTACAGGAGGCCAATCTAGGTGTTGAGTGTCAGGTTAATGCATTCCCAAATGGAGGGGGCAGCTGCTGATGTTTGGAATGAGTGTTCTTTAAGACCAGGTCATTCCAGCACTCTTGTTTTAAACAAACCTCTCTCTCTCTGCCTGATAACAGGGTGGTGAGTTAAAGCAATTTTCTTCATTCTAAAGGACATGCCAGCACTTGTGGATATAGGGATTCAAGTTATTATTTTCTACTGAGATAGCCCCACAGTCAGTGTTCAGGTGCTGCTGCAAACATCAGACTCTGATGTTCACTTTGTGGGGTGGAAATTATTCAGGACGTATAGCGACTGCTGGTGGCTGCTATGGATTTCCTATTCTCAATATAGCTTTTGTTCGAAAAATGCTTGTAATTTTCATGAGCGGTAAGGGGCTCTCAGCAGAGTCTATGTGAGAGCATAATTTAGGCTATTTAGTCTAATTTTAGACTTTCTTTTATATCTTTCATTGGAAAAATTATGTGCTACGCCCCTGCAGTCTTACTTGTTGCATGAATAACAAAGGACGGAAAGAGAGGAGAGAAAAAAGCAGCGTGTGGAGGGCATTACTCATGTATGTACTTTCATGCTGTTTCTGAGTGGCTCAGACGGTTTGTACCTCGTCCAGGCCAGTGTTTGCTCATTTAGCTGTCAAACAGCCAGATCCCAAAAGACCGTCACAGGCGAGGAGCGAATAAGTTTTATACTGACTGAAATGTAAGACTTTGTTTCAATTCTGTCATGTGAGTGTGTTTTTGGAGACATGTGATCGACCCTTCGAGCTTAAAATCAGGGGTAGTTTGGAATTTTTTCCCCCACTAGCTTCAAATTGCTTTGTGTCACTTTAGGTGCGTCCAAAAAAAATCCTGCGAATGGAGCTAGGAGCTCTACAGTCCCTTATGTGCAGGTTAGTCACTCATGCCACCATTAATGCAGTGCAGTGGTACTGCATTAGTGCACATCATTGTCCCAAAATACCTCTCCAGGTTGGCAGTTAGCAGACGGAGAGAGTGCAAGGGAGATAGGGAGCGTGGATGGAGACAGACAAACAGCACCCGGCTATTGAGTTAGTGTGACTGTCAAAGCTGAGCCCAGAAACAGACGATAGCTCTGGGCTATTATTGTCAGGCAGCTGTGAAAGTTTGAGACTGACAATAGAAACACTGCTCCAGAACCAGACATTGATTAAGTCTAATAGTGGTCATCATGAATAACAAGAATTAAACCTTCACTGAGAGACTGTTTGACCACTTGGGGGCAGTAGAAGCAAGCTTGGAACATAATGCTGACATGTTAGCGCTTACGTTAACAAATCCAAACTTAACATACAGCTGCGTGTTTACTTATCCAGCACAGTCAGAGATGCATGTAACTTGGCAGCTAAATGGTCAACTATGCTAGCTAGTTGCTAACTCCATGTGTGTCTACAGTAATATGCGAGATTTGACTGCTAAATCTGGAAATTATGCTAATTAGTCTAGTGAGATTGAAGTTGCACAGAGGAAAACCAAAACAATGAGCCTATAGATGCAAAATGAGGAGCTGCAGACTCGGATGATAAATATTTGTGGGCATGTCATTATGAACGACTCCTTTAACAAATTATCTTTGGATCCATTGTTGATACAAGAAATATTGATCGTAGCAGCTTTAATAGTTGTTTGTTGTTCTCTGACATCTGTTTTATGTGTGACCTTTTTGTTGTAATTAGTCTGTGTGTGTGTGTGTTTGTGTGTCAGATCTTTAGTGGACTCACATAGATTACTTGGCACCACCCACCTTGCTCTCTGCATGCATTAAAGTAAACGCTCTCAGTTTGAATGAGCCTGTATTCTAGAGATACTCAAAGTTCTGGTTTGCATCACCAGGAAAAGTCAACAGAGGATATGAGTGTTGAGGTGAAAGGAAGCCTGCTGTTTACTCTGGGTTGCTTGCTCATATTTCCTGTTCTATCAAACACTTTGAGATAAATATGTGTGAGAAGCAGCCATGTGCAGCCCTTTACTCCTGCTCCATGTCATCTTACAATCAATTATTCAGCAACGACGTCGGTTTTTAAACCTGTTACAAAGCACTAAGAACAGTTTGCATCATCATTTCAGCGTCATTTTGAGCAATAGAAGCCTTTTTGCCTAACTGACGGTGTTGCTGCCGAAACCTCACAAGCTCTTCTAGGCTTCATGTCACTTTTTCTTTCCTTCCTTCACTAGCTCATTGAAGAGCTGCGTAAGAGGAAGCTTGTGGCGACAAATGCAGGAACACAACATGTAGCTTTACTCAGATAGACAAGTAGTTACCATGTACTATAATAAGACACTATTTACTAAAGCTGCCTTAAACACCTCAGACAAATACGTTCCTTCAATCCATCGATCATATCATGTAAAAGAGGTTATGGGCAAACTGCTGAACATCTAATACGTCTATTTACTTGATGTTTACTATGTTGTTGTTTTTCTTCTGAGTTACTATATAATCCTACATGTAAAAAACATTCAAATGAAACAAGGGAAAACCGAAACTGGTAGACAAATGCGTGATTAGAAATTACTGTTTTAAATTGGGTCACAAGCCAAAAATGATAGGGACCAATAAAATAGATCATCATTGAGGGAAGTTGACAATGGTGAAGCTAAGATTTCATGTTAAAATACAATTAATTGCAAAAGCTTAGCATGTTGAAGGTACATTTGTCTGACGAATGTATAAAAAAAGAGTTGGTAATGACAAGTAATAGTGGGAGATCATTTTTCCTTCCTTGGAAAATCATGCTTTTGTTTTTTTAAATTTCAAATTCACTCAAAGAACGTATGTGGTGACCTGAACCTGAACTGATTCGACCTGATTCATAATTCACACACAATCTCACAAACACTCATCAGCCTTCTCAACCACAGCCTATAGATTCTGTTTTTCCAGGTGCATCAATCAAAGAAAAGTCATGTGTGGTGTGTGGCTGTGCACGTGTCAGCATTTAAAAGTATGTGTGTGTTTCCAATTATTACAAAGTGATGAGGGAGAAAATGTGCTCACACACCTGCAGGCTCTGCTCCTTCAATCTCTGTTCTCACCTGCATTCAGCTTAACATGCATCTTCTTTTGTATAGTTCTAATTTTGTACAGTTGTATATTTCCACGCTCAGTTCTCTCACTCCTCCTCCACCTCCGTGTCTGCATCTTCCCAAACAGGATACCGACTGAGTGGTTGGTTTAGCTGGAGGGATTCCTGGCAGAGTGATTTGGTCGTGATGTAATATAAATCACATTGCCAGGGATTTCCAACCAGCTACAGCTGAATCCCACGCTATAGTCTCCTACACATGACGACTGTTATGCAAAGCAAGTCACTGCTAAAATCTTTTCTTTAATGTTTAATGAGAAATCAATGATCTCCTCAGAACTACCTAACTACCTAAGAATGTATTTATTTAAAGGTTAGTTTAAGTGTGTAATTATCTAAATTGTATGAATTGTTGATTTCTTTACCCTAGAATGGTCCCTTTATATTTACATCATGAGCGGGTCCTCTCTATGGAGGCCGCCATGTTGTTGTTTGTTTTTACAGTAATCCAAGCTAAACACCTTTTCAATTTTTATGACGACTGAAGGATACCACAGGTTAACTTTCATGTTTGGAAGGGCAGGGTGAGGGGTGTTTACCTGCAACATGCAACACCACTAGACGTCACTTAATTCTACACACCGAACCTTTAACGTGTACATCATGTTCAGGTCTATGTCCCATGACATGAAGGAGGCAGGATTTATGACCTATACTGCCAGCAGGTAGAAATCAAAATGCTTTTGGGGAGAACAATGTCGTCCTTCCATGTATAGTTCATATTTACTTGTCTAACCCTTGGCAACACTTCATTCAATCATTCATTAAAATGTTAAACTACGATTTTGAATGGTATTCATGTCTATTACTCATCGTCTGCATAAGAGAATGTGCAGACAGAGAAGGTAAATTGGTGCATTGGGTTCCAGATGTCTTCAGTATTTGTTGGTCCACAGTTTTGTGGAGGTGCAGGACTTGGCTCGCTCCGTGAACAGTTCAGTGAAAGCCTGTGTTCACAGTGGCTAAGTTCCGCTCCTCTCAAGCCTTTCCAGCTTTTCACGCCCACTGTTATAACAGCTGAAAGAAGTCAACATGGATACAAAGGTCCCTGTGATGTTACCAGTTGCTACATCCCACTGCACAGCATTGTAAGGCTTCTTTTCAAGGAGATGAACAAAGTAAATATTTTTCATTTCCTTTTTTTCTTCATAATAATGAGTGTGTTTTGCTACACACAGTCACATTGCTTGTATTGTGTTCATAGCACTGATGGAAAATGTGTTGGACAGACAGAGGAATGCAGTCACTCTCTTCTCTGACCTTCTCTTTATCTTTTCTTGACAACAGATGAAGGAACATCAGTGATCTTGTGATGAAGTTGAAGATGAGGATCCTAAGAGAAAAAGAAAAACAGGGGTGAGAGAGGAGGGGGAGGTGGGAGGAGGCAGGGAGGGCTAACTCATACAGGAAGGAAGTACAGGAAATGTCCCGATGGGAAAACAAGTAGAAATGTAATTGTGAACCCTGAGCTCATTTACTGTTTGGGTGGTTATGAGGGGGATTTGTATGTGTATCTACACGCAAACATGCAGCCCTTCATGTGCTTAGGGAAAAACTAGGGACTTGTGTAAATGACCTCATACTGTGAACATTGTTTTTGTTAAATGCTCTCAGACTGCACTGTTTGGTGGAATCATACTGTGATTCCCAGTTATATTTAACTTGCAACTTTCTTTTATGACCAAATAAAGAACACTGTATAGTGCAATCTAAACTCATCTTCAGCACAAAGCAATGGGGCAGCAATTGGACAGTGGAAAACAATGACGGCACAGTATTCAATTTTTATTTAAAATGTTTTCTCCATGGCACCAAGTCTCATTCCGTTTACTTCCCAATCAGAAAATATACTAACACGATCACAAGGATCATCATATGGCAAATAACCAATGAACCAAAATAGCTAATTGACCTCTTTTTATTGAGTCGCCCATTGGCAGAGTAAAGTATATAACAATACTATGATATTTGTTGAAATGTTCCGAATAAAAAGGAGTCGGTTGATGTTTTATTTTGTTGCATGATGTAAGTTTGGCTCCTGGAATGTCATCAAATTTCTCTTTTGGGTCTGTAGCTGGTAAAGTTGAGACTCCTGGTCTCATTTAATTGGACTTCCTGTGGCAGCGTACGTGTTGTTTGGTTCCCTGTGAAGTGACAACTGGTTGGTGCAGGTGCCTGGGCTCAACCTCCTGTGCCTACTGAGCTGATTACAGTTAGATGTTCAACAAGCACTGGCTCAGTTCAGCAGGAACCGGAGTTAGGCCCTTTAGAAACAGCGGCGGTTTGGTTGTCAACCTGAAGTCATCATTTTCCATGTGCATCTGCAGCAATGTGTTGTCCCAAGTTATCATTACTTCTTTACTGCCCCAAAAACCAGGAACTGCCAGAGAGTAATGATTCTTAATCAGAGCTGAGGAAGCACAGAGCCACACATCCTCTCTGAATTTAACCTTTAAAGCTCCTGATGGAGGAAATCTGCTTCTGTTGATTTGGTATTACTGAAAGATCACAGGAGCAGAGTTTTTCCAGTTGTATTCTCCACACGCTACTGACTGAAGACACTGGAGACGCATTTCAGTAAATGTATTTACATGATTTATGACATTTTTTCTTTGTGTTTGTAAGTGTGCGCCCTCCACAGGTGAGGAGAGAGCTAACTGTTATATTGTGTATGAGGTGAAGTTGGTGTTCAAGTTTCAGCATCAGCAGATGAAGGGGATCTGATCTGTGTAGTTAAAACTCAATGGATTCAAGCCACTGCTTCATGTTTTTGTATTTTTGCAATAAAATTCTAAGCACCAGTGAACCAGATGCTCCTTGGATTTTTTTGGGGTGTGAAGGCTGGAAATCTGACACACTGCTCTCAGCTCTCAGTGGAACAACAGGAAAAAGGGGGAAGAAGAAGTTACATGAGAAACCCATACTACTGATGGTGTGCCTGTAGACTACAAGAGACTCCAAAAGATTCAAATGAGACATATGATGCTTCTTTTTTAGTTTTTTTAATCAACTGTGTTCTATAGGTTTTTGTGTAAAAGTCCAGAATAGAGCACAGGAGTATAGTGAGAGATTGTGAGGTCATCACACTGCTCCACATTTGCATAACCCATGCTAACCAGCTAATCTGGCACAACCCCCGATAAAGCCAGTGGCACATTCAAAACTGAAGAGACAGGAGCTAAAAGTTTCAGACAGAGGCTGGAAAGAGGAGCTGCAGCGATGGACAGTATGAGGAAAGTGATGCTTTTCTGTATATTTCAGCATGTAAACCTTTTTGAGTAATAACCCAGATCCTGAGTATGAGAGTTATATGTCTCCTTTAATCCACCAGAGAGGGTGAGAGGAAACAAATTAATCAGGTTGTAAAAATGATAAAAGTGACATTAGAGAAATGAATTTGAAAGCTGTGATTATGTTTCTTCGCTTTTCAGCTCCTCACCCTCGCTCCTTTTCTCTAAAGAGACATGAGTCATATTCCTGTCTTTGTTTGTCATGTCGCCTATTGCATCAACACTTTAAAAGCGCCACAATAATGTACACACACACAAACAAACACCTGCATCCACACAAACTTCACTCTTATATAAAAATAATTTCACAGGTAGCCTTAAGCCCACTCCCACGAGCTGAAGCAGCACCGCACCAAGACGACTGCGTTCTCACCCTGACCTTTTAAAGTCACTACATTAATGCAATTCCATTTTTTCCCCAGTCAGACAGTAAAAACACAGCTGTAATATTACACTGAGGAAGAAGCTGTAGTTTGCGTGACAACGCATAATCTTCTATTTCTGAGAGAAACCACAGCATGTGTGCATGTGCACAATCAATATGAAAATAAATCATTTAATAGTGTGTGTCAGGCTTGTTTGTGACAGCTTCGAACCCGAACCCAGCACGAGCTCTCAAATTTAAGATAATTAGAGTAGACTCACACACGACACTTCACTGGTGCGCTGCAGCCGCCATTTCCCATATGTGATTAAATAGGGCTTAAACTGTCAAATACAAAGCACGCTATGACTGTTTTTAAACTTAAATATAGATCAGGGATTGAAATATTTAATTACATGGAATAATCTGTCACATATGAAAGGAGGTTCACAGCTCGGTATTTATGCGACTGAAGAAATTTCAATACGACTTTCAAAGGTAAAACATTTGCGCATTTTGAAATCCTTTTGTGGGTGTTCTAATAGTCAGCCAGAGATGAGATAAACAAAATACAGTCTGAGGCAATTTAAGGCCACTTAATTGGTTCCAGTGAGCAAACTACGCTTCACAAAACTCTCTGCTCTCTGACCTGAGTTTCTATTTGTGCAGAGGTTTCTTTGTCTCCTGCACAGCTCTGATAGCTGAGTGCAATGACTCTGACCTTTGCATGTAATGATATTTTTGAATTAAAAGCTCATTTTCACGGTCACGCTGCTGGTTCTGAAATGGAAAAGAATTATATGATAACCGTTTGCACATAATTTCTATAGCCCCTGAATTCACCTGTAAGCACCAAGTCAGCTAACCAGAAGTCAAAGTCAAAATACATTTTTACTTTTTCACCTCAGGGAAAATCAAATTCAGCCTAAAGTGGAGGAGATCAATCACTACACAAACAGCAGCAGCAAGGGCAGTAACATGTGACCTTTATGGAACCACATTTAAATTCATTAGATCTGGATTTTATTTGGAACTGCACACACTCATAAATACCAGTCCCCTACATATCTGATTTTTCCGTCAAGATCCATGACTGTGGATCTGCACCAAAATTAAAAGGGTTATCTCCTGTCCCACATCTTTCCACCAAGCTCTTGTGGTAATCCAGAAGAGATTAAAACAAAATCCTATTCATTACTATTCTAAATAACAGAGGCTACATTAGAATACATATATTTCACCAGTATGAAAATCAACAGTGTGACTGCATCATAGTGCCAAAAGGAAAATTAGCTCAGTTACTACAAGAAAGTTATTAAATACCAATTCATATTCTGCACAAGTCAAGGTCAACAAACGTATGTTCCAAATACAACTTCTAAGATATTTCTGCAAATAATACAGCTATAGATACATTAGTTAAAAAAAAAAATTTTTTCATGCTATGTGTGCATCGTATAGGCCTAGAGACTAAAGCTTATATAGAGTAAAAAAAATAACGTATGATTATATGATAGGAATTATTTCATCACATCACTATTAAGTCAGAAAATGTTCTTACATAATATAGTAATGCATTTACAATTGCAATCAATACCATTGGAATAATGATAATATAAATCTTGTTCAGATTAACCTGGTATTATTATATTATATTATAGTCACAGCATTATTATAATATATATTAGTTGAATATCCTGACAGGGTAGGCCTCACCCCTCCGATACTTTTAAATTACATTGTCTGAAAATAAATATATTGACCTAAATGTTCTAGCTCAAAAATGATATATGAACAAAGACATTTGTGAAAAACAAGTGAAAAACAGCTGAATCATCAGGTGTCATGTGAAATGCATGGCGTTTATGAGGTTGAAATATAAAACTGGAGCTGGGAGAGCTGACTTGTATTATCTGAAGAAGCTGAGTGTGGAAACATGTTGCTGAAGCAGCTAAAAGGCAAATGATCTACAGCCGAAGCTGGGAACAGAAATAAAACGTTAACTATGAAAGTGAAATTCTTTTGTTTTAATGTTATACAGATGAACTGTTGCCTGAAATTAGCCAAGATGGCTAAACTGGCTGATTTATAGAAATGTGTATGAATGTGCATTGTCCCTGTAACTTTTAATAATAAATAAATTAAACAATCAAACAGTTTGAATTTATTAACAATAAAAATGCCGTGCCAAACAAAGCGTACCTGATTGAGGAACTGTATCATCCACTATCTCCGTCTGTCTCAAATTTCTCCTCATTGACTTTTATAGCTTTATCTGATTTGCCAGTGCACACAATAATAATCCTCTTCTCACACTCATGGGTGCAGATTTCCACAGATAAATTCTGCAGGCAATTAAGCAAAAAAATTTAATAAGCGTGTATTTGAAAACGTTTACCTACAGCTACACACATTCTGGATGTAATGTGGATTCAGATGCTTGCGAGCCGGGTCTGAGAGAGTGAAAACAGACAGTGAGAGAAAAAGACTGATCAGGGCAGAGATGATAATCAGAGTGAGGAGTCATGCAATGAAATAATATGTTTGTTGTCTCAGATTCTGAAATAGCGACACGTGAGATTCACACAGATGACTTCATCACCTCTGCAATCAACATGACACATCCTAGCAGACCATCGGAGAACTGGCTTATGTCCTCGTCTGTCTTCTGCGGAGGACGAGGTTGATTAATGCCCTGTGTGGCGGCTCCATCACCAAAACCTGTGTTTGTGTTGATTGCTGAGGTGATGTCATTTGTTTGAATCTCATCTGCATTTTCTGGCCGTCTTAGACCATGAAAGGCAAGATCCACTGATTTGCCGCTGCCTCGTCTCCCACTTGTTTTTGTCTTCTTGTCTCTCTGCATATTTCTGCCTTTTTCGATGACTCACAGTCCTTCAGTTTGACTGCGGGAATCTAGCGCTGAGAGAGTTTTATGCTGAGGGTCATTGGGATATTAAAAAAAAGCACCGACTAGAAATTAACCTGCATTTTCTATTTTGTCGTCCCATGTCTCCTGCTCTCATCTTTAAGAAATGACGTGTAAGTGGTGCCAAGAGTTAGATGAGAAAATTGACACCTATGTTTTGATTAAGAGTTACTCGACCTTGCAGCAGCTCTGTAGCTCAGTAATCAACACGTTAGCAATATAAAAAGAAAAATGAAGTGGTCTGGTCTGATAACCTAAATTATTCACTTGACATAAAACAGTTCAATAAAGTGGAAACTGCCTCTCAATGTACAAAATCTACTTCAGGTTATGTCAGTGGTGCATTTAAAACTTCCAGGCTAGTTCCCCCTCTGCTTTCAGTCTTAATGCTGAGCTAAGCTAACCAACTGAGGCTTCATATTCAAACATGAGCGTGATATGAATCTTATCTAACTCTTGGCAGGAAAAATAATAAGCACATTGTTTTGAAACTATTCCCTGACTGAGCGCAGTGTTGTAATCTGTTCTGTGCGTACGCAGTAAATCAGTGACATTGCATCACAGTTTAAACTCAAAATTACAATTAAAGTTACTGATATTCTGATACTGATATAAGTGAGCGAAACCTCCCTTTGCTCTGTGTGACAACATCACTACCTGCAGTTTGTTTCTACTTGTACACAAAGAACTTTATGCATTTATCACATGTTCAGTGAGAAAAATCTAAGGTGACACTGATTTTCTTTTGATGCCTTTGTTTCCCCTTTAATGATTCAGTCCCAGAAATATGGAAACTGTGGCAGTGTGAGTAAAGCGTGACTTCAGAAATGAACTCCAGTGGGTTCATACATGAATTTGTAATGTTTGTAATGAAGAAACCACACAACGGCTGTGGGGGCTTAGGGAGAAGAAGAACTCCCCCATGAGGTAAGACGAGGCAACACAAGGCAGGTTAATCTATAAACAAATAGCATGGTCCACTAAAGGTAAAGTTTTACATTAAGGTTCAGAAAGCAACACATGTATAAAACAATGTTAAAAATGCAACAACATCAAGTCCTCAATAAGACACCAACAATACAGACAGATAGACAGATACATATATATAGACATAAAATAGATAGTCAGACAGACAGATATAGACAGATATAGACAGACAGAAGATTAATAAATAGAAGATAGACAAACAGACAGATAAAGAGGGTTTTTTTTGCTTTCAAGCTTTTTATTTTGAAAATACACTGTCTTCCTTCTACTTTCTTTAAAAACCTTTTTATTTTGAAACCAACCACCTGGATTCTTCTTTCCTCTTTCTCAGGTGTCCACAGGTCTTCGTCTCTCCACTATGACTCAGACAGCAGCTAGTGGCTAAAGTTCCACCTTTACTTGCCGGTAAATTTACAACAGGTTAGTTTGTTTGTGCCAAACAACTGAAAACTCACCTGGAGTCGTGTCCTGCGGCAGAGAAGACCAAAAGTTCTTGATGAAGACAAAGTTAAAAACAAAACACAAACACCTGTGACCTCAGGTGCTTCTTCTTCTTCTTCTTCTTCTTCTTCTTCTTCTTCTTCTTCTTCTTCTTCTTCTGGTGTTTGTTGGCGGTTGGCAAATCAGCTTATAGTTGCGTTACCGCCACCTTCTGGACTGGAGTGTGTAGCAGTAGAATGGCAGTAAACAACAACCCAAAAAAATGAAATTGAATTATTAATTATAAGTCCTGTTTCTCTTAAATAGTTAATTAGAAGAATACGTTTATTCTTTGATGTCGTTCCTAACAATTTTTTTAATGTGATATTTCGCTCTTCGTCTTTTAATGCTTGCCTATTTTATGAAGTGTATCATTAAAACCTGTACGACCAATTCTCAGAAGGTATTGATTTTTTCACCTGTGCTCCTCTCACCACATGCTACATGTTTTTAGATTTTGTTCAAATAAAGTAAGGCAGTAAACATTTAGTATTCAACTCCAGATCATTTTTTTTATTTTATTCATGACAAAAAGTACAAGCACATCTATGTGAAGGAAAATATATACATTTGAAATGGATTTTTTGGAAATGACATTAGCATCTAAAAAGCGGTTCATTTTATTAATGATTAATGTTACTTAAAGAGCTTATTTTGTGAATTAATTATTGTTTATTAAGCTGCATAAAAACATGCTATGTAATGATGGACATCTCCTCTTGCTCTCGACTCTCTGACATTGCATTCACTACATTTCCCAAGTATCTGCAGAAAGTTTGCCTCACGTCCTCTGGCTCCTCCTCCAGGTTGGAGTGAATAAGCGACAGTCTGCTCAGATGTGAGGCTGCATCAAAAAGAAAGAATGTTAGTTGAGAAATGGCCATAACTGAAACAGCTCTGGTCTGAGAAGCCTGTAGCACAATTACCTAAAGGCAGGCGTTCATCTTCTACTCCGCTGCCGGGTTTGTGATGAGCTATGAGCAAGCACTGATTGTCCAGCAAACCCTGAGAGGAGATGAACATCGAATACCATGTCTCAATTTCTTTGAGGTGGCTCGGAACATCAGGATTAAAAACGATCACCACGCCACTGGAGTCTTTCATAAGTGCAGGCCAGCAGGATTCAAATCTGGATGATAGGATTAAAGAACATTTGTGAAAAATAATAGTAAGCAAATTTGTAAAGTTTGTTTTTACAGTACTTCTCAGATTAAGAGTCACCAATTATTCAAATGGCCGTTAGATAGAGTTTGTACGAGCTCATAAAATAGGAAAACGGGAAAATAGGACAGACCTCATACTTGACCAAAGGCAGGTTTCAAATGATATTGCTTAGAGTTTTTTATTTATTTTATTATTTCAGGTTCTGCTGTCCCAAGAGGTGGAGATAATGTACTCAACAACATAGGTGTTACGACCTCAAAAGCTCGATCACCTCAAGTCATTAGACGGGTGTGTGTGATATCTAATAGTTTTAAAGTAGTAATATGTCTTTTTTTCAAAGCACACGATGAGATAGTCTAAAATCCAAACTTGTCAGTGATGTTTAACTCACTTGAAATCTCCAGAGCAGTCCCAGAGCTCAACCTCACATGTGTTGTGGTCACCACTGCCTTCAGGTTGGGATTCAAATTCCAATATCCTATAAAAACATTTACATGCTTGTTTAACATGAGTTAAACCTCTCATCATGTCAAGCCAAACAAGACGGGTTAGAGCTAATAATCTTCTTTGAATTCAAAAAATGCCCAGAAAACATCTGTGCCAGATGAAAGGCAACAGCGATGAGACAGTTTGTACCTGACTCCCTGAGTGGGTCTGTAGTCACCCCCCATATTTTCTGCTGTGTCCGAGAGAAAATTAGCAAGAACTGTTTTCCCACTCTGAAAGACATACACAGAGCATTATAAGAGAAGAACAATCAATAATGTTATGAGATGTGTGCTGTGAAAAAGGTCAGTTACTAGTTTTACTTTAGTTAACACTTGATTGTGAGACTGCTCCACACCTCATAGCAGAACAACTGGTTGAGGAAATACTGCAAGGTGGTTTGTGTTACCAAAGTACAAAATAAAACATTTACATCAGCCGAAAGTGTTGAAATCTTTGAATGCAAGCTGAAACTGTTCAGCCTAGTTTAAACTATAATTTTATTGCATCTATGTTTCAGGTTGTATTCACTTTCATCTATCTGTTAATATTGTGAGTATGTGTTTTTGTCTCTTGTATCATTGTTCTCACAGCTTTTAATATAAGTTGATGGTTGCTCACTGTCTGCACTTTGGTTTGTTTCGTCTGTTCTTGGCTCATCAGTCAGTTGTAAAACACTCTGAGCTGCACTGACCTGAATGACAGGTGTTGTATACAAATCTCAAATAATGTTAAGTTACTTTTGTTAACAGTTATGAAGCTAGTGAGCACAGAAGACCTCACACGGGATGGTGACGTTTGGATTCAAGCTTACAATTGTGGTGTTTGATGCCATTAAAACAGTTTGTGAGCATCACATGCATTTCAGCTAAGGTAATATGTGCTCAACACAATAAAAGCCACATCACAGTTCTGTCATTCAGTGACCAACACAACAGACCACACAGCAAAACCAGAGAGACGAGCACTTACCTCACTGGGACCAATAAAGAGTATTTTAGCTTTGAACATTTCCGGAAGCTTAGCATTAGCCTCCCAGCTAACTCTGACTGCAGACAAGCCGTGCTAGCGACAAGTGAAATCACAACCCGTCACTTTTAGCTGAGCTCTCATCTAAAACATGACGTTTTCTGCGATTGTCGGAGAATCGCGCACTTAAACAATAAATAGGAATAATCTTCTTAAACTCGATGTCAGCAGAGGATCGTCCTCCTCCAGGGGGAAATAAACTTCCTCCTCGTTTCTATGGTTTCAACCAGCCTCTTCGTTTTCTTTCTGCCCATTGGCTGCTCGTGAGTGAAATCAAATTTACTCCCGCCTACTTTCTGCCCAAGGGACGAATCAGTAACGAGTACGCAAGGAAGTGACGCGACTTGGTGTTAGAGCTAACCAATCCGGTTAGAGAAGGCGGGCCCTTCCGCCTGGAGCAGCGTCGTTCACAACCGACACAGAGCGAAGCTGAAGCAGGTGATGTTTACGTGTTCCGGTCTCTTTATATACAGTCTATGGTTCCGGTTTACGATCGATTATTGGTTTGATCTCTGATCGCTGAGTGGCAGCTGTCTGTAGTTAAGCAGAAGCGTCAGTAGCCACTTCCACTCTTCCTGTCTGTCGCTAAGGACTCAGCTGAGTGAGCCTACTTGACACACCGTCCTTCATAGTGTCAAGCTAACAGAGCTAAAACAATGAGCTTTAAAGGTCATGTAGGTTGAACGTCTCTGTCCTTACTGTGTAATCTACTGTTTGTCTGTGCTGTCAGTGGTGACAGGTATGTCCCCAGAGGTTGAACCCCCCCCCCCCCGGTTTCAGCTCTACCATGGAGGACCTCATTCTGAGTCGCCCTAATTTTCCTCTTTGTGAAAACTAATGTTGCCTTCATGTTGTTGTGTCAGCAGTGGGAGGTATGTCCCCAGAGGATGATCCCCAGCGTCCCTCCATTGCTCCAGCGTCACCACAGAGGCCCTAACTCCGATTTGTGATGCTCCAGATCGCCCTGACTGTCCTCTGTGTGAAAGTTAATATTGTCTCTATGTTGTTGTGTTAGTAGTGAGAGGGATGTCTCAAGAGGATGAACCCCAAAGTCCCGCCCGTGTATTCAGCTCTACGGCAGAGGGCGTCACCGCGAGTCTTAGCGAGCCAGATCGACCTCAGGAGCTGGGGAGAAGAAAGACACGCAGCGGTCTCCAGACAAGACCCCCAGAGGATGACGTCAGCTGGTGAGGTCCCTTTGAATAACTAGATCCTAATCTGTCGGGCTAAGCGTCCACTCCCCCGCCGCCTGAGTGATTTAGAGCATTTTCTCATTTTAAAGTTTTTCATCTTCCTGTTTTTCATTTAGTCATGGAGCTTCTGCCAGCGGAACCAGCCCCTTCCTGAAAACACTGATGGACGCGGAAGCAGCTGCCAACTCTGCTGCCGTGCAACTCGTGTCTTTTAAAGATGCGATGGAGGATGAGTTTGCTGTACGTTGACTGCAACTTGGCATCAAATGGGTTCAAACACGGGCCCTGCACGTGTGTAAACCAGAATAATATTATATTCATGACCCAATGATGTAACTTGTGTTTTTATTTCTCTGTCAATTAAGGATTCGAGGCAGTCCGCCATGGACAAGCGCCGAGCTACGAGGCAGAGAGGACTCCTGCTGGAGAAGTTGGAGGATTTCAGACGAATAAATAAATCTGTTCGACAGAAGCTGAAGCAGCTGCAGGAAGCGGAGGTTGGTTATGACACCTTTGTGAGTCAAGTGCATATCAGAAGAAAAAAATGTTGTTTTATTTTATTTTATTTTTTTACTTTTGTTGTTCACAGGCTGATCGAATTGATGCCAACCAACATACTGAGATGTTAATGAAGAAGATAACACAGGCTGAAAGTGAAAATGAGGTGTGTTTCAGTTTATTATTATTGAAAAGGGAAGAACTGGAAGTGGCAGTAAATTAGTTTTTGTGTAATCCTGCTGTCAAACAGACAGGGGTGTAAACATGACCTCCTCGGAGGACGTACTTGATGTTAATGGCGGGTTTACCCCACATTGGTTGATGTTATTGCTGACACACGTGACATAAGTGCTTCTATTGTATGAGATTGAACACATGTTTAGAAAGATCATAACTATAACAATCATTTTGTGATTTCTGTTGTTTTCTTCCTCAAGCGTTTAAACCGAAATTTGACTGAGACAGAAAGAAGATTCGAGGAGCTGATGGCTCTGCGGAGAGAAGAGCAGGTGGGTGTAGGAGTATTGTCCATTCAGACGATGAAATAACTGCATTTGAAATCCTCTGTCCACACTGTTGTTCTCAGGAGAACGTGAAGACTGCCACTCACATGACAAAGTCTGTGGAGGCGACTCGGACTCACCTGCAGGAGCAGCTTCGCACCAAGGACGCTGAGAACAATCGTCTGACGGCACGGCTGCGGGTATGAACAGCTCAGTGTTTTATCAGCCAAAGCTTCAACAGACAAATGGCTTAAACGGGCATGTGTGACAGATCTTCGTGGTGTCTTCTAGACTCTGGAAAGAACCCGGACTGAGCAGAAGATGGAGATTAAAGATCTGAGAGGATCCATCAACGCTTTAAATGAGACGGCAGCAAAGGACAAAGAATCTCTAAAGAAAGCCACAAGAGCACAGAAACTGAGAGCCGAGAGATTTGCATCTGCTATTGAGAAATGTTATGCACAGCTAAGGGAAAAGGTGTGAATTCAAAATAGCAATTTTTTAATATCTCTTTCCAATCCATGGTTGTTCAATGTCTGACTTTCTTTTTCGTTGTCGGGCTAAAGGATGCTCAGCTGGTCAGTGCCTGTTCGGAAAGAGACTCCAGGAGACGGCAGAAGGAGCAGCAGACGGATGAGAAGGACAAGCTCGAGGCTCATATAGACTTTTTGAAGAGGTTGGCCTTTTCCTCTTGTTACACACTCCTCCTCTTGTAGCACGCAGCGGAAATCAATACATGCATGTGTCAACTAACAGCTTTCACCGATGAATGTTGAATCTACATCTCCGTTAAAGTCAAATCACGGACTTGACAGCGAGGCTGCAGAAGGAGAGGGATGAGCTGACCGCGGCTCGTGACACCGTGATGCAACGCGTTGAAAAACTCTGCGCTGAAAACAGAGACCTCCGCATCAATAATGCAGCACTTGAGGTACAAGTTGCCAAACAGCTTGCACATGAGCCAAAGGCATACAAATTCAGAATTCCAGAATTGTTGCTATGCAGACATTTGGTACAAGGTTTGAGGCTATTTGTCAAATATTAAAATGTTTATGTTGTTGCTGCACTGCTACAAGTATCATATTTGCTTCTGACTCTTACTTCTGTCACTAAAATGATTTGTGTGATCACAGGCATCAGTCGCTCGGTTGGAGCAGCAGCTGAATGATTGTGAGTCGGCTCTGGTGGAGGAGAAGGTCGAGTCGCAGGAGAGGAAACATCAAGCTGAACAGTGTCAATATCAGGTGACCGATCACTAATCCATATAAAGTCTTTTTATTTTTTAAGAACTCTTTCTTTTTTCTATTCTTTCTTTATGTTGACAAACTTAACACACATAAATCATAATTTAATAAAAAAGATTATCATGCTTATTATGCTTTGAATGTCATCCACGGCATATTAATTATGGTTTGCTTTTTATAATGAATGCAAATCATTCCTGAACAGAAATTGAGAAGTCTTTTTAGGTGTTTATGATCCACAGTTGCTACTTTAAAGAAAAACCATCGGACATCTGGCCAGTGAACGCAAAGCAAAACACTATGTTTTAAACCTACAGACGATTGTAACAAACTTATCTATTTATCCTTGTTTCTCATGCCAGAAATGATTTTTTCATGCTTATCTAACACTGTTTTATATCTTGACTCTTTCCTTGATCCATAATGTTCTAAGCCTATTACAGCTGTAGGGAAGGTTGTTGCTTATTTGATTATACGGCTCTGAATTTTCTTTCTAGGTCGCAGAACTTCAAGTTGAGATCAATGATATGAGGATAAAATATGGAAATATTTTAAGAGAGACGGAGAAGACGAGGGATGGGAAAGATACAGAAGTTGAGAAGGTGAGCCTCTCCTGCCTCTATGTGTGTTCCTCTATATTTTCTCATTTCTAAATCTTTCAGCATGCGCTAATCCTTAGGGCTACCAGTTGGTTCATTCAACAGAATTGAATATTTAAGGTGATTATTTTCTCTGAATTTACACTGTTGTCAGACCTTTTACAGAGTTACAGTACAAAGCAGGAGATTGTGTGGGTCAAACAGGAAAATGTCAGAACATTTGGGAACATTCAGTCGAGGGGTGGTGTTTGAATTCCACTGTGGAAACCAACTTTTTTTGTGTTCTTTTTTTGTTTGTTTGTCTTTTTGATTGTGCGTCTGTTGCGTGTTAGATAAGTCATCAACTCACCCAGTTTCCTGCTGTATTCTCACATAGACTTCACTCTGACATTTTCCAGATAGGGGCCAGGGCAGGAAAAGTTCTGGAAACATTTCCAGATCAACTGACTCAGACATTTTCATCCTCACATATGGCCTCTCCAGAAAATGTCAGGAAAATGTTCGGTGCATGTCTGAAAGCAGCTTGGGTAGAATTTGCATGACTAACATATTACATGCATCTGTGAGTAGTCAGGGTTTACTGTGAGAGGTTTGATTAGTCTTTTTATTTTGTCTACTCCCAACGCTGCAATCCTTTCAACCCCCTCCCTCCTCTGGGGCCCCAGGTGAGGCAGCAGCTCCAGGCCCGTGTGGACGAGCTGAAGCGTTACCCTGAGTTGCTGAGTGCAGCCGAGCAGAGTCTCTTTGAGAAGCAGGAGAACCTGCGAAGCTCAGAGAGGAAGTGCTCAGAAAAGTCAGAGTCCATTAGGCAACTGCAGGTTAAGGTGTGCAACATGAGCTGTGCTGGTCACATTGCCTGCATCTGACCACTAGGCAGTAGTACAACCTCACGTGTCTGTCGGTGCATCTTGTTTTTTGGTCGTGCTGTGAGTTTTGATGATTGTGATGAATGAAAAACACATCTCAGCCATTTGTAACTCCAGACCAATTTGTGTTTTTTCAATCTCCATCATCAGCAGTGTTGAACTGGTAGTTTGAAAACTGTGTTTTCTAGTTTGTGTTTGAAGCGTCATTTCATCCAGTGTTGCATGTGATGTGAGACTCTTTTTTTTCCCTCTTGTAACCAATGCAAATGATATGAAAATAGCAACTGTGAATTTTGCATATGCAGATGGGAAGTCAGACTACATTGCTGAGATCATCGTTGGGCATGAAAGAGTCCATTCACGAGGCCAACGTTAAACTACAAGAGAGAATTAATTCGGTTCAAAAGTAAGACAAACCTTAATCAACAGATTAAATATAGAAATTGCTTCAGCATGATGTTATAAAGTGTTGTATTCCATGTGTGTGTGTTTGAAGGCAGATGGAGAGGCTGCAGCAGGAGAACCTGGAGCTCGTACGGAGGCTGGCAGCTCAGGAGGAAGCTCTGAGCTACAGCAACCAGCAGCTGGATCAGCGCTCGTCGGAGAGTCAGGCCCTCACCCGGCAGCTGGAGGCGGCTTTATCAGACGTTCAACAACAGGTACAGCTCACACAAAGGGTTGTTGAAGAGCATCTACAACTATGAAAAACCAAATCACTGATTGATCTCACACAAGCCTGATTCCCTTTATCCGATGAAAGAAAGTTTTGTCACGTTTCCAGGTCAAAAAGGTCAAAGAGCAGAATCTCTCCAGAGAAGAGAGTCTTCAGACTAAAATCCTGCAGCTGGAAGCTGAGAAGAGCAGAAGAGATAAAGAGCTGAGGCTTCTCCGCCAGAGTAAACTGACTGTGAGTATTCTTCCTTTCCTATAACATGTAACACATTTGAAAGTCATGGATTGATCTGATTGTTGTATTTTCTCTCTCTGACTGTGCAGGCAGAGCGACAGTTCGAGGTGCGTCTGAAGGACCTGCAGCTCAGCCTCGACCAATCAGAGAGCCACAAAAAAAGCATTCAGAACTACGTCGACTTCCTGAAAAACTCCTATCAGACCATGTTTGATGAGGGACTGCAGACTTCCACAGTTACATCCTCGTATTTCCTAAAATAATTCAGGGTTCATCCTTTGATATTTAAATTTTTGTATTTATTTATGGGTTTACTGTAATATATATTTTTTAGGTTTTATTACCTCAATTTAGCAAAAACTGGTGAATCAATTTCCATGAAACTTGGTGGAAGGATGTCAGGAAAGAGCCAATAATATTTTGGTATGGATCCAAATCACTAGGCGAAACCAGGATTTTTTTTTCACTGTCTTTTCATCATCAATCATTTCCATTGATTTCTCAGGGAACAATTCATGGATCCTGATGACAAGAAAAAGTCTGACATCTTCAGGGGACTGATATTTATGAGTCTGAGCAATCCATAACATCCAAATACAATCTGGATCGAGTGAACTTAAATTTTGGAGTTATGCACGCTACTATTCTACTTTTTACTGATGGTCTGTTCTTTTATTTATGACTTGGCTACCTTTGGGTTTAAAATGTTAGTGAGATAAAACAAGTAATCTTTACTCAATTTCCTCAACCTGAGATTTCGTAGATGACATCTAATAAATAAATAAATAAGGTGTCTCCTGCTGGTAGAGGAAATGTGCCACTAGGTGGAACTGTTCATCTTTTCTCCCCTTTTAAAGAATCTTACTTTCATACACAAAGTTCAGTGTCTGTGAGTGTGACATTATATTATGACAACAATGGTTAACCAATACAATTAGTGCTATAAAACCAAATGCGTAGGTGCAAGTGCCCCAGCTAAGTCTACATGTGGTACAATAGACCACATTTAACATGGTGCTTGAACGTGATTATACTTCCAGCTTTACTCCCACCCTCTCACCCTGATTTTGAGCCATGACACGGAAAATGCTCTCTTTACCGCCTCCCTGTTTGAGCATCGTCTTTTATCTGTAGCAACAATAATAATAAGGAATGTGCGATGTGTATTGAATGTGTTTATGTTCTTGTTTCTCACTTGGACGTGGAGATTAATTAGTTTAAAAATCTTTAATTTAACTGTCAAGTTTGTGCCTTTAGGGCTGCAAACACAGTCGCAGAGATTCAATACTGGGATATTTCCAAACCTCTGATACTGGTTTGCATTCAGGCTTTTGTACTAGAAGTTTTTATATTACTGCTCAGGGGCAAAGAAGGTTGAAGGAATCTGCTGCGGCACGATTTTGCCAAAAGGCAGAACTATTGGTCTTATGCCGCGCTTATTGGATCTTGTCATTGCTTGATTTGTGGTTCCACACTGTGTCTATGGCAATAAACCACCGTGGTCCTGACCACTGTGAGGCCCTGCTGTGTCTCTGCAGCGGGCGTTTTCCCCCGGGTGAGCAGTGCTCCTCTCAAATTCTCAAAGACAAAGCTCTATTGTGTTCACTGTCAAGGGATGGAACCATTTCATCTGCGTGTGCGTCAGTAACCCTGTTTTTCCCCCCTTTGCCCTTGTTCTCAGTATTCTGGTTCTTGCCTGTTTACGCAATTCTGTTGATCATTCACTGGGAATTGGCTTTCTTTGCTTTTTTTTGTTGGAAAATAAACTTACATCTGGCTGCGTGGTTGGTATCATTACTGCAGCAGCATGATCAACACACCCTGTAGCATATATGATCATTAGTCTCAAATGAGTCAGAAGACCCATTTATCTTTTCTTTTTTTTTTTATCTACTCTGCAGAACTAATTATCAAAAACAGACAGAGGCATCACTGTTGTATGAATTTTACTTTCTTTTGACTGCTTTTTATCTTTTATTATTTAAGTATCTCAAAGCATCTGTCCAACAGCAGGAAAACCACTCTGTTTTATGTTACAGTCATTGGCTGAACTACTCAGTGACATGGAGACATGTAGGTCTCTGCAGAAGTGGGTCAACTAAGAAGCTCCAGTTTATTTATCACTGCAACAGCTGAACTATGTTTTTACATTTGTCAATACTATAAAATAATTGCTAGACTGTATTGGGCTTCTTTGCATTTATTTGTGAAAAATTATGAATAAAATGGACAATATGGCAGTTATTTCATCTTTTACATACAACACAGTTTTCCTGGCCTTAGGGTCATATTTCAACATTTGACAGACACACAAGCAAATGCAGACAAATATTGCAAACAAATATTACTGCACTTTACTATGATTCAATATAGGAATACATGAAGTATGAAAAAACAAAGTGTCATAAATAAAATGAAAAGGTTCAGTATACAAACAAAAAACAGAGTAACATTATGTTATTTAATAGCTGCCATAGTTTTTACATCATTTAATGCAACATGTTGAATGTCCTTAAACATATTAGTGATATGTCTTATCAAAAATCAGAAATTATGGAAAGGAAAGATAAGAATCTGATGAATATAAATACAACACTTCACGAAGAAGCAAATCGAAGGCTCCAGTGTTATGAAGCAGAATAATGAACAACATTGTTCATCAAATTCGTCCTGCCAGGTATTGTTCTGTCAGTCAATACTTAAAGCAACGCTATGTAACTTTGAGCAACAGCGCCCTCTGTAGACACACATGTGGTGATTCAGTTGGGCTCCATATCTGAGCGAGTAACTGGTTTTCGTGGCAAGAAAAAAAACTCCATCAATCTCTGACTGAACAGAAACACAACTCAACGACCATCTATCTCTGGCCTCCTGAGTCCTCCAAGAGTTGCTGCTGTAACAAATAAACAGAATGGGGAATCTTTACAATACAAAAGTTTCCTCATGAATAGTGTGTTCAGGGTGAAGAGTGGGAATGTTAGCGACATCATTATCTCTGCTCCAAATCAATCAACCATCAAACTAGTTTAGAGGCTGCTTGGTGAAACGTTGCATAGTGTTGCTTTAATGGATTTTTATTCCCACTAAAATTTAGAAGTTGATATCTTAATGTATATCATTAACAAGTCTGTGGAGGGCAGGTGACTTTGCGTCATTGTTGGTGAAGCAGCTACACTTGCAAGACTGAATCATCATCACCATCCTGCTGAAAGTTTCTCCATTTTTGCATCTGAAGCGCACGGCTATCGTTTGAGTCCGATGCGGCCTGCAGCATCTCAGCCCCTCTGAGCACGACCCGCAGTTTCTGGGCTGGAACTTTTTCAGGCTACGACAACCTGAGCGGGAGAGTTTTACAGGGCGGCCGGCCTTTTCCATGTGGTTGCACCTCTGACCTTTCTGTGAGAAGAGAGATAGTTCTCAAAATTGCAATTCGAGGAGAAGAATTTGTATTCTGCAAAGGATGCTAACTGCTGCAACACGTTATGAAATAATCAGGCTGTGTCTAAGCTATAAATACTGGATATAAAATATTTGGGGTGTACCTTCAATCTGACGGAGGTCATGTGTTTGTGGGGGGGAACTTTACAGATCCGAGTCTCTTTCACGAGTTTGCACTGAGTATTGTTGTTGGTCAGCCTGGTGGACACTCCGGTGCCACGGGAATTGGAGCAGGGTGACCAGGCCGTAGTTTGAGACACACACTTGAATCCTCTGGCAAAGATGTGGCTCACTGGGTGACTCCTGAAGGCTGGTCAGTGGAAAATGTAAACATTTTAGATGACACAACACATAATTTGATGAAATTGTTCAAGATAATCAAAGAATTTCATTTTGACGTATCTACATATTTAATTTCACACGTTTCCTTGGCTTCTCAAAGCCTCCATCAATCACTCACCTGCTGAAAGCTCAGATTCTCCTCTCCACACAGGGGCCAACTCATACTGGTTGGTTAAGTCGTTTTCAAACATTCTGTATTTGCTGTCCTTCTTTCTGTGATTCTTCAGTGGAGAAATCTCTTCCTTGGGGCAGACTAGTTGTTCGCAGCACCGTCCTGGCACCTTGACCCTTTTGGGTTTGGCACAACCCAGTTTGGGCAGCATGAGCTCACGTGGGCACAGAGAGACACATCCCACAGCCCCATCCATGCAAGTGCACTGGTGTTTGCAGTTCGGACGGAAGATTTCTCCATTCTGGTAAATCTTGTTGTTGTACTCGCAAGTTCTTCCATCTGATTTAGCTGTTTTAAAGAAACAGGAGTAGAGAGTCTCAAAATAATAACTTTATACTGAGTGAATTGATTGAAAAAAAAAGATAAGAGAACCAACCTCGACAGATGCCTTTAGCAGAATCATATCCACCTCCAAAGTTGCACTCCAGTCCCTTCGTGTGGTCACATGGCTGCGAGGTGTTGCAGTCTTCAAAAAGCTGCCGAACACAAACCTTACAGCATCCACATCTGTCCAGCATGAGACTGACTCCAGCTGCACATGTGGGGACGTCAAGGGGACAGCGACAGTCCTTTGGGCACGAGGCCGACACCTGAATCAAACAATTCCAATCTAAAAGTGACCAACAGCCAAAAACACAACATGTGAATGAACAGTGATTATTTCCTCACCATTGTAATGCAGAGGATCCCGGCAAAGATTTTCCACATCATCAGAAGTTGAAGTTGTCTCTCATGAGTAAACAACTTTCTGTCTATTTATTCTAATACCAGACCTGACGGCGAGTTGAGGAGTGCTGGCTCTTCCCATCTCCTTTTATACGTTCAGAAAAAGTGTCCTGAAACATATGATCAGAATGCTTCTCCCAGCGTCCTCCCAGAAGCCTCAAGAGAAGCAGACCCTCCTCCTCCTTTCATTCAGTGAGCCAAGAACCACCCTGTCTGATTTCCACTCTGCCAGGACTCTCTCTCCAATTCATCCATTTTCATATCTGTTTTATTATCCGAGAGGAAATCCTAAATGAAAGAAAGAAAAAGAAAAGAAAACAATGAAATATTATATAATATTATAAAATATTTAATAAAATAAAAAATTGGCAGAATTGACTCTATCAACTTGTGCTTTTTATAGTGGAAACTGATCATTTATTAGATTGTTCACATGATTATTTTAATTTAAAACTCATTTCTGCTTTATATGTAAAAGCCTTATTCAGCCTATCAAGCTGCTTTTTTGTTGGGTTCTTTTGTATAGAAACAATATGTTTCTTCTCTTCTTCTCCTCCAGGTTTTTTATATAAAAGATATTAACCTTGATGATGATGAAACCTTTCCTGGTTAGATCAAGTGGGTAGCAATAAAAGAATGACTTCTGGGGGTACAGTAGTACTGAGTAGTTTTGTTAAGGCCAAAAAAGAAAAAACAAAAGCACGAATAACATTAATACCTGAAGTATTTCATCATCAGCCTCCATACATGCCAGAGCAGCCCCACACAGGACTCAACATCGGGGAACCACAAGTTCTGATATAAATATTGAAGAGAAGCTACATATTTCTATGACCAACTGAATTTCTAACTCAGACGAAACCGTGTTTAGACTGCCGCCCCTTGTCTTTGCTGGGCGATTGTGTTTTCTAACTTTGCGTGCTTTTAAATTCACAGATTCCATTAGGGTGTGCGTGGATTAGAGTTTGCTCAGATTCAATATTGAATCTCTTTGTATCCTTTGTTTGGTCTGAATGAGAAACATGCACACACAGAAACAAGAAAGCAAAAAGAAAGCTTGAGCGACGCCTGCGGCAACATTCCTCTCAGGATGAACGTTGCAGGTCTCTTTGAAACAGCTGCCAGGATAAAAAAGCTTCTTCTTTTATCTACATCAAAGAACAATGAAAACGATCAGGGAAAGAATAAAAAAATCGTTCCTTTCATTTCAACCTGTGTGAACAAGAGGCCGACCAGGGAAGACAGGCACATCCTCCATCTTATCTAACTGAGGTATCCAGAGCCAGTTTGAGTCAGAGCCAGCTCAGGCAGATGAGGAGCAAACATGCGTGAGCTGGGTCCGTCCACTGATTCCTGGAAATCACTGAGTGTTGTGTTGTGGGCCTGGAAACTTTTCCCTCCAAAGCTACAATATATAGGAATTTGCAGAACCATAGATGAACCTTAGATATTCGCCATAACAGGCAGCTGGAGGACTTGGAAAGGATTTTATGTCAACATTCAACTCGTTTTAATCTCCATACACATTGCACATACCAGCCACTGCCAACCAAATGACCAATAGGGAAAGTTTAAGTGCAACAGGTGATTTGCGAATGCTACCAGGTGAGCAAGCAGGCATCCGCATGCACTACATCTCATGAACGTGATTCCACAGGCTCGTGATTCCACAGGCTCGGCTAACCTAAAATGCTAGCTAGCATGGAAAATGCTATAGGCTAGCTCTTTTCAGTCAAAGGAGTTCCCCGAGCTTCTTTCTGGACTGGCTTTTCAAGGTTGAACTTTTTAAGGCTAAAGATTTAGGGCAGGGGGAAACACATGTTTGCTAATTTCATAAATTGAGAAAAGGTCAACAAAATTAAACTCACACAGATTAATTTTGGTCACACAAACAAATCTGCACTAAAGGGGTCTTTCGGGGAGATTTTAAATGCTGCACCTTGGAAGTAATTGTGCGGAAGAAGTAATTGTTCCTGCTAAGTAGAGCCAATCGTGGTGTAAATCATATATCTCTAGGAAAGAAAACAAATGTATAATGTACCAAATAAGAATTAAACATTAATGAATTAAAAGACCACATTTTACGTGGTTTCCCTCATCTTGCTGCTGAGTTCCTGTGGTCATCCATTGCAACTGTAAAGATGGATTTACTTATTTTATAAGAGACATTATGCAACATTTACCCATCCTGCAGATGATCCTGTTATGGAGACAAGGCCTTTGTTGTCTTTGTTATCCCCTTCTACTCTACACTCTGAGCCATCCTACTGTAATTACATTAGTCCACATGTAGTTGTCCCTTGGACATGATGGGACATTAATGGGATGTGGAGACGGTGGGTGGGCAGATGGTCGAGATGATGACCAGTTGGAGAAAAGAAGAAACACATATAAACAAGTAATTTTTGCGATAATGTAAAGATTCATGCTAATCTCTAATGTGTAAAACCACAGTGGGTCTGAGAGAAACTCTTTCTGCTTATGTAGGAGCAGGTCATACTCTGTGCCACAGACGGGTCTAGATATGAATCAAAATCCAGTTACGTCATTTCTATAAATGATTCCCTTTGTCCGTCTTCTGTTCCCTGTGGAGCCCACTCCCGAGTCAGTACATTGTGTTTATGTTAAAATCTCACTGCTGATTCGACATTATTTCCAGGCTTCTGCTCTCTGCTGTTCAACATGAATGAAGAGAATTACTATGAAGCCTTTTTTGGAGCATGTATTGTCAGTTTCTGCAGACGCTTTGTTGACATTTACCAAATATGTTTCTCTTGTGTAAAGAGGCTGATGTACGCACAACCTGACCTTTTAACACCTGACATTTAAAGGGCAGTGTTTCTTTTGTAATTCTCCCCCAGAAATTACTGGGATGCATCAGCAGTCACAGTGATATCGGAGCCTGTATTTCCCCTTCTCTTTCAAACCATTATCATTACGCCGAAAAAAACCCTCCAGGGCGAAATAAACGGACTTGTGTCTGATTCCAAATAAGTAAGGATATCTCTCTGCCTGAAGATGGTGTTTTCCTGATACACAGTGCATATTAGATTGCAGAACATGACAAAACAAGCCAGACAACCATCTCCTCAGGGAGCAACTGTCCTCAAACAGATGGTGGTATATCATGATCAGAGGGAAAGGAAAATATTGTTTTGCCATTTTACAATTTATTCAAAGTTTACTGGTCTTTGTAGGACTCCATGCTCTCTGTGCTCTTTTATTGTTTACAGATACTGCTAACTGCGTGAGAGCACAGGCCATGACCTTCCAGCTTCATATTAAGATCAATAAACATGGTAAACAACACAAATCAATGTTGAGCTTTGACTGGTGAGTCAAAACCATGACCTATAAAAGCACATAGGTGTTGTTATATCTGACCAATAGCGAGGCAGAGATCATTTCAAACAGCACTAGCATATACTTACAAAATATGGAACATTTGATAAAAGATTATAAATTACTTGAGGTACTTGTAGTTGCAGTTACTAGTTACTACTTTGCAGACCAACATTGTACAAACAAAGTGTTTAAAACTCGTCTCTGTTGTGCTTTAGTTCCTATCCATTGTGTTGTGGCTATAATTGTGTTGCTTGTTTACCAATATGTTTACCAGGGTTCTGAGGGCTCCCTAGAATATGTGAAATGAACTGTGTGCAGAGGAGGTTCAGCAGCGCCACCTAGTGGAGCTCATCAGAATAACACTTCACCTGTATAAAAAAACTGACACTTGAGATCAGTTGACACAGTCTTAACTCGTCCACTAAGTTTTTATTCTTTATTCAGCTCGTTTCATTTTCTTTATAGATGCTTCTTTTTTCTTATCCTATGTTGATTCTTGTATTTGTCATCAGATTATCACTTCACCTGAATAAGAAACACTGGAAGTCAATGATCATTGTTTCTACTTGTCCACTACTTTTTGTTCTTTATTCAACCATTTGCACTGTCTTTATAACCGCTTCTTCTCTGTTGTTTTAATAATTTGTCATCTTATATTTTAAATAAAGTCATTTTAATTCCCTTCCTGTTGAAATGTGCAACAGAAATGAACTTGTCTTGCTCGGCAGCGCCACCTAGTGGGGCTCATCAGAACAGCACTCCACCTGTATCAGAAACACTATAAAACTTGAAATCAAGGAGCACGAGTCCGGACGATGAAAGTTGTGTATCAGTGTCCCGTTGCGTTAAACGTTAATTTTAACATTTTAAAACAGAAATAAAGAGAAACTGTTTCTGCTTCTTGTCTCGCGCTGACCTAAAAAAAAATCTTCCGGACAATCAGGAAGTCCGGGAACTGTTTTTATTTCCTGTGGCTTCTAGAGACAGAGAATTTGAATGGAGAGTGGGCTCGAACTCTTTAAACGACTTATAATCATGAACCGAACCGATTGACGCTCGCTATTCATTCATCGATGTATTGTAGCTCGTTATTTGCGGCTGATTAACGCGTTCACGTCGACACTCGTTACCCGGAACACCTGGATTTAAAGTTTGCGTGAGAGAGGAATGGATGTTCCTCTGATCACTGAAGATGAGATGGCAGAGATCAAAAAAGACGTGAGTATGAAAGGTCAGTCTGTGTGTGTGTGTGTGTGGGTGGATGGGGGGGGGGTAATGATGTTTTTTATCAGTATATGATCACACTTGGCTCAACCTTGGCCTGTGTAAGGAGGAAATGAAACACACACACGTGTTTGTGTGTGTGTGTGTGTGTGTATGTGTGCGCGCGTGCGTGTGTTAGGATTTGTTGGCCCTATTAAAAAACATCCCCAGAAGCTGAAAGCTGGACACCAAAGAATAACTAGACCACACACTGGTTTAATCCAACACATCAAAATGGGTTTAATGATCTTTCCACATTTTGGTTCATAATAGTTCAAATTTTCCATCAAACATAAGTTACGGTTTGGTGCCTTGCTCAAGGACACACCGGCCTGGTGTTTTGGTTACAGGTTGACCCAATCAACGGTACCGTCTGATTGTCAGTCGGTCACACACACACAATCATTTAAGCATACAGGACAAGATGGTGAATATCCCTTGTACGTGTATAAATATATATATATATATATACTATATTTTGAATATCCATTAATTTTTTTATTTAATTTTGTTAGTATTCAAATGTATATTTGGATTTATTCTAAAGGTTCGGTGGCTTAGGCCCCGCCTTCTCACCCTTGGCCTGCATGTGCAGAGCGGGACAGCTGGGTTGTCAAAGTGTTATTTTTTAATCTCATTTATAAAACAAGCGAGAGAGAAAGTGAGATACACAGAGAATGAGAAAAGTAAAAAACACAACTGACGTTTTTCACATATTCTAAAGATATATATCTATATATACATATAGATATATATCGTATATATGCAATACTCATAAATTCTGTACCTCTCTATTATCTCAACCACTAAACCAGCACCAGGATTACACAAAAACTATCCAACTTCCTGTGCAAAGCCCAGATAAATGGCTCAACAGGCTCATCTTGGAGTTTGAGTAGCTGAAATAACCCAGCATTTTTCTGAGATTTAGTTCCTTGCTCGCTTTGTTCTACTTCTTCCTCTCCTGCTATGGATTTGCCAGGTACTGACCAGACTGCGGCACTACCTCTGTGACAAGATCAGGGCCGAGCGTCACGTCGACTTCCTGCGCTCTCGCAGGATCCTGACACGGGACGATGCAGAGGAAATCAGCTGCAGGACCACGCAGACCAAGAGGACGGCCATGTTGTTGGACATCCTTGCCGAAAATCCCCGGGGCCTGGATGTCTTGATTGATTCCATTCGGGAGATGCGCTCACAAAACTTTATCATCACCAGGATCACAGACGAGGTGCAAAAGGCCAAAAATGAGAAGATCGAGTTTCTCAAGGGTGAATAAGCCACATCATGATGAAACTTGTTGTGTTTTTTAAAATCTATTCCATATTCTTGATGGTTTTATTCAAATTCTCTCCCCACTTTCCTCTCTTTATCCATCACGCCACAGCAGGGGCTTCCAGTTCCTCTTCTGACAGCAAGCTTTGCTCTCCAAGCTCGACCAGTGACATCCCCGCAACATTTTCAAACAACTCCACCCTGCTTTTCCACCCAGACGGAGAACGAAGCCCTTCCTCCTCAGACATAGTCGGCCCACTCAACCTGCCGTTGTTACAGACAGGTGGGGACCTGTCCTCCGTGGCTGTTGCTAGCATTGCTGTAGCTTCCTCCACTACCTCCTCCAGCCTCCCGAGGCCGGGAGACCCTGGAGCTCCTCCGCTGCCCGATGATGTGATTGTTGAGTCCCCCTCCAACATAGATGTCGGAGCGTCGGGGTGCAGCAGCAGTGGCGGGGACCCAAACTTCCAGCCCCTGCGGTCGCGCTCGCTGACCCCAACGTCACACCCTAACATGTTTTAACCTCACACCTCAATTAGACAGTTCACATGGGACAAACTGGCACAGACCGCAATTACTCAACTCAACTCAGACACGTCCTTTTGGTGTCACTCTTGCATGTGATTAGGGAATTTGTGAGAAATGGCTGCACATGGAATATTGAACATGTTAGCCCTATAGTGATCAGCTTATTGCATAGAAATGTTGTCTCTGGGGACGGGGTCGTGTTAATACTGTAGCCAATTTGTTTCTGTAGTATTGGGATGAGGCCAAAATAATACCTTAGTTTTGAGAATATCCATATAAAGTGCATATCTTTCTAATTCACTCTTTTTAGTTAAATGTGCAAGAACTGTTCCTAAGTAAAAACAGTTTAAAGTGGAAGAAAATATTTATGTATCGACAATAAGTGTGCATACATTTAATGCAATCTTTCAGTAATTCTTGGTTTTCTATACTCAATGAAGTTATTCGATACCACATAAAAAAAATACAATCTCTGTTAATTTGACTTTTGATTGTATCTAAAGGTACAGAAGCAGATCTACATTTAGAATTAGGAGGGAGTCAGTAAAAGTACGAATACCACACTGTAAAAATACAAGGTAAAAGTAAGTGCAACACTGCAGGGAAATGCACATAAATTATTAAATATAAAAGTCCTCAATTATGCTGAAAAATGCCCCCTGGCAGTTATACCATGAAATCATTTGATTATTTTTACACTAGTTTTACATTATGGATTATTCAGCTGATTATTGTGAACGCTGATTAACAGAGTTCAATGTGATGCCATCACGATGCTTGATTTGTTAAACCAATAGTACAAACCATTATCATCCAGTTTCTCTTGTGTGCATCATACCTTCCTATTAATGAATTAACTAAACACTTACAGAAAGAATTCCATCAAAATTTGTGCTTAACATAGCAGGATTTTCTTTTTATCGTGGTATTGAAAGTGGTATGATATTTTTATACTGGCTTTATGTCAAAAAGTCTCAAAAAACAAAAAAAACTAATCAATTTCACCGAACAATGAAGAGCCATAAAGGTCTGAATTTATTATATTATTATGAATGTAACTCTTTCATTTCTCCCAACAAAGGTGTGATTTCCTGATAAACTGTATATTGTGAGGACACGGCTGCTAGTTTATGTGAAATGAGAGAAAATATGTCACATACACTGGATTGACTACTTGAGAATAAACTATATGTCTTTCTTATAAGATCTTACGAAACGCTGTCTTTCACCAGAGCCGTGCAGCTTCAAGTGTTTTATACTTGTTTCTATGCAGCATTAAGTCAAGAAAAAGTCATTTAGATGTTTTATCACTACAGAAAATATGGTGAAATACACACAATGTACTGCTTTTTACTGTGTTAAACGTCTTGTACAATGTATCTCATACTAAAGGTTTTCTGTATGAATTTGACTTTTCTTTTGTCCTTTGTTGGTGGAAAATAACTTATTTCATTTAGAGAAGACACATAATTGAGGTGACATTGAGAAATTGTTTATAAATTATCTGACTGGCTTTTCATAGTTCTTGATGAATGTTCAAAACTAACAGTGGCACTCAGTAGAGCGCACAACAGCCCTTTTAAATTCAATTATGCTGCACCAAATTTAACACGCTCATAGAAAGTTGTTCCTTAAATGTGCCTGATATTTTTCATCAATATCCATAATATCATTATTCCCTGGGAAATTGTAGCAACTTAAATAAAGTGATTAAAACATTCTTGGATCTGCACCTACTCTAAATTGAACAAGTTCTTCCTCGACATATACTACATCCTTCCACCTGGTTTTGTGGAAATCCCTTCAGTTGTGTTTGTGTAGTGTTGCTTATGAACAGACGGGGTTGAAAACAGAACCTCTTTGCTGTTGCACATTCAATATCAGCGTCTGGATTTGCAGCGATGGCGTGACTGTGAGCTCTGTCTGTGTTTTGGAAAAATTGGACGCAGAGGGATGTGTCATCGTGGTGACGGCTTTTGTCTGCACTGTCTCGTCCTCGCACACATCACGCCACTGTTGTACTAGTTGCTCTGCGGCTGGTGCACTGGAGGCGTCGGCAGGTAAATCACTAATTTATTATTGCTATTTTATAAAATTGTATCTTAACTTTATTTAAAATTGTGGGAGTTTTATTCTCAGTAATATATGTAAATCCTAGAAAGGAGTATTTAATAGCATTTACTATGTAAGAACCTGTTTGTCGTTGGGATTTTAAATCTGCGAGCTGTGGCGGGCAGGATTCCCACAGAATGGTAAAATGACACAGAAAAAATATTCTTAGCATTTTTTAGCTTTAGCTGCTTATTTTGATTCATTCAGTTTGCATGAGAGAGTATCTTAGTCGAGACAGAATGACATCAGCTAACTTCTGCAGGAGAACCAGTTTGATAAACATCAGAATGACTGGAATGGCTAAATCCCTTCACCTCCCCTTCGGCAAAATTCTAAAGTATGCTGAAACAAAAAAAACATATGAAGACAAGCACAACTAAAGGTGTATTCTTCTTTTCTGCACTGCCCTCAGTATTATGGAGGACTCTCAGCCTCGGAGGTCAGAGGGGAGGATGCAGAATGGCCACTGCAGGTGGAGTGCTGAAATTCTGGAGACCAAGGTCGTGGAAGATTTCAGGCGAAGGCTCAAATACTTTTTCATGAACCCCTGTGAGAAATACAGAGCCAGGGGTCGCAAACCATGGAAGCTGGTGTTGCAAATAGTGAAAATTGCTATTATCACAATCCAGGTAACGTATAATATCCTTTATATTTCACTCTACAAATACGAACAGAGGGACAATGTATCTCATCTGCACATTGTTGTATTCTTTAATTTTGTATTTTTTGTCCCTGATCAGTTAGTGTCTTTCGGCCTGAGCAACGAGATGATGGTCACGTTCAAAGATGAGAATCTCATGGCCTTCAGACATCTGTTCCTCAAAGGATACAAAGATCCCCGGCTTGGAGGCTACGCACTTTACACAAAAGCAGACGTTTATGATCACATCTACTACGTCATCAACCGGGTATTGAAAAATGTAGATAAATATCATGTCACATGAGGACTTCATGGCAAATTTTATGTTATGGAAAAAAATGTATGTGATGCCTTTTCTCATTTTTCTTTTCAGTATATCCGTCTCCAAAACCTGACAGTAGGTAATCTTGCATATGAGAGGGTTGACGGGGAGAACACTCCTCTGTCTCTCTGTCAAGAATTTTACAGAAACAGCAGCATTGATCCTGGAAATGAGACCTTCGACATTGATCCACATATTGATAAAGGTACCAAAGCACAAAACTGCTTAAAGACAGCAAAAAACATTTATTCAGAGTCTCAACTGGCTGTATAACCTGTGTATTTAATCTCAGCAGATACAATGGGTTGTATACTGTTTTTGAATGAAATGTATTTATAGAAGCTGATTCATGTCGACAATGGAACATAATCACACTGTGGAATATATTTGTGACTCGGGTAAAAGAGGAAGCTCGTGCCTGGTTTGAATGTGAAATAGTTCCCTTGCAGAACAAAATTAAATGTAACTAAATGTTGAACCGTTGTCTGTATTTCCTCCTCACAGACTGTACGTCCATTTACCCCGAGCAGACGCTTGACAACAGCAGTTCGCTCACACACTTCAACTTCTCCTTGGACTTCAAAAGGTGACTAAACTGAAAATACAGGTTTGATGCCAGGTGATGTTAGTGCTGCCTGTTAATGTGTGTGTGTGTGTGTGTGTGTGTGTGTGTGTGTGTGTGTGTAGGCTGTTATCAGTGAACATCTACCTCACGCTGAAAACCATCAATCTGCAGACTGTGCGGCACCATGAGCTACCAGACTGTTATGACTTCTATATAATGGTTGGTGACATGATTGAAAACTGCCACACTCAGATTTGTGCTTTATGGTTTGTTTATCAAGTAATTGTTGGCTACATCGCATTATTACATTTGCATAAAGATGTTCATTATGTTGCTGTTAAGATGGACAACATGACTGCGCCCCAAAATTTAAGCCAAAGCGTCTTGATTGTCCCCTGGTGGCTGGCTACACTATAGGGTCATAAATCTGGCCTCTACTATGTTGGACCAAACCAAAAGTCAAAGTTCACGTTTGATTAATAAATTTAGCTGAAAAATATTTTCATTTTTGATGCCATAAAAACCAGGGTGAAACACAATGATTGACGGCTGAGACTGACTTGCAATTAGTCAAGTGCTTGTATTGACACAATCCCTCCACTGTGCAGACTCTGGTTTCAAATGGGTAAGATGGCGCCGTTCATATCCGGAACATTTTAATTCATTTCTGGATCGTAGGAGGAAGTAAAGACATGTCGAATATCTTTATATACAGTCTATGTTTCCATGCTCGGAATAAAAAATCACTGACAAATGACTTACCCTTGTTTTTTTCCACAGATCATGTTTGACAACCATGCACACAGTGGAAAGATAATGGTGACTGTTGAATACGATGTCAGAATTTATGAATGCAGAGACTGGAACGTTGAGGGCACTTGTGAGTTTTTACCCAACTCGGGCTGTCAGGTGCACCCACACAAAATCTGACAATCTGAAAATCTATCTCAAATCTGTCATAGTGGTTTTGAAAAGCCCACAAGGGGCACAGTGACATTACTCTTTGACTAAATGATTGAACCTATAGCACCTGGTTTTTCCAAGACATTTTTATGTCTCAGCCATTTAAGAGCAAACTTTAACATGTGGTTTTCATTTTCAGCTGGGAAGTACGATTATCTCCTCCTCTGGTTTGACTCTGTGGTCATCCTTGCCTGCCTCACCTCTCTCATCCTCTGCATCAGGTCTGTCATCAAGGGCATCCAACTCCAGATTGTAAGTTACGAATTTTAACATGAACGCAAGTCTGGTGCCTTTAGTTATCAGCCGATTGAAAACACGAGTTGTTATTTACTCAGCACACACACACACACACACACACACACACACACAGGCCCCGGGGCTCAATTGCTTAGATCAACACACACAGTGAGATCAGTGAAAGGTTGGTTTGTGCCGTGTGGGAGTTTCCTGTGTCCCCCTCCACTCTCCTGCTCTCACTTTAACTAATAAACCCTCATCACAAGTTATCAGGGCCTAATCAGTACATAAAGCTTACCTTGTTTGATTTACACGCTCATTGCAACACGAGACGTGACGGGTGCAGCCAGTACTCAGTGTTAAAGTGAACGGAGCATTCATGGTCCAACACCATCGATTAATAACTAAAAACATGATTGTAAGTTTGTCGCCTAAATCATCCCAAACATATGAACTTGAACGTGAACTACTTCATTTTTATCTATATGAACTGAACTTTGAACTTTTTTTTATCTGCAACCTGGCACAGCACTGCCAGTGACCCCTTGGCCCCATTCCTGGATCTGCCCCTGGCTTGACCAATTAAATTTGATCATTTTCTTAAACAATATAGCATAAAGTATATTGTCTCCTTGATTTAACAACTAGATATCTTATTATTAAATGTGAGTATATGACCTCAGCAGGTCTCCACTGGAATAGCCATATAGAGCATTGAAAAGGTACAAGAATTCTATATGGCACTTCATCATCATAATTTTTAATTTCAACACACATCAGAGCAGCTGTCTGAGTGAGAAAATTGTACAAAATACAAACGCTGAACAATCTTCCTGATGGTTTCAAACGATTTAATTTTCCAAAATACATAGCAGTTTAACAGAGAGTTTACATGTTAACATGTTATAGTAATCCAATAAGACCATTTATGCCAACCTACCACAGACACACATTACAAAAGTGTAATAAAAGTGATGCAAAAGGGGGAAAAAGCTGGATATTAATTCTACTAATAATAACAATTATAATAGCAATACTAATAATAATCTTAACAACAGTAATCATGAACATTTTTGTTTTATTTTCTCACACTCATAATGTATATTCCCAAATCCTGTTTGCAGCTATCTATCACATCACAGCTGAAAATTGAATATGTGCATCTAGTGCATTGTCTAATTTAGAATTGGCTACTATTTAGGCTGGAAATTAATCTCTCCCACAAAATAGTTAAAGATGCATTAGAACACATACAATTTTAAACCCACACCATTATATGATGGGGTAATTAATGTAAAACTGAAATCTGATATTTCTCGGATATATAATGAAAGTTGAAGTTAATGAAAGAGATGATCAGAATCATAACCATCAACTAATCATTTTGACAGAGCTGGTTTAAAATCTAAGTCGGTATCGAAACTGGACCTCTCTGTTAGGCTGCATGGACCCAAAGCCCCATCGGCTGAAGTCAAATTCAGGTATTTTCTCCTCAGGATTCTTCAGCTCAATCTCAAAGTAGACCAACACCAGGAAAACAAACTGCTTCACCTCATTAGAGGCAAAGAAACGCCCGGGACACATGGAGACCCCAGCACCCCAGGGCATGGTGTAAAACTTCACCTTCTTCCCATTCTTGTAGAAGTCTGTTTTCTTGCTCCCGTCAGGATTCAGAAAGCGGTCATATTTGAATGAAAGTGGGTCAGGGTGGATCTCTGGGTCAGTGTGAACAGCACCATAAGGAAACATAGCCATTCTGTCACCTTTGCGTATGAAATATTCACGCCCATCTGCCATCTTGAGGGTCATATCCTGGAGCACAGCTCTGGTGAGGACAGGTGCAGCAGAGAGTCGGAGGGTCTCTTCCAAAGCACTGTCCAGGACGGGTGTTTTCTTCAGCATTTCATAGGTCAGGTTGATCGAAGGGCCATCACGTCTGGCTTCCTGCCCTGATTCCTTCAGAACCTGATCTAGCTCTTCCTTCACTGCCCTCATGGCTTCTGGGTGTTTCATGAGGTAGAGGAGCAGCCAGAATGCAGAAGGACCTGTGTTGCCCTGAGAGGCCCAGAGAAGCACAAACATGTACTTGCTGATCATTGACTCCTTCATACCCCTCTCCTCTCGAAACTGCTGCATGTCCCAGATCCAGCCGCTGATGTCGTCCTTCATCTTCATCTTCTGCACCGACAGAGTGTTCCAGAATAGTTCCGTCAGCCTCTTTGCTTCCAACCTTTGCCTCGGTGAAAGGACCCCGTAAGCCAGGTTGGGGAAGAGTTGGTCATATTTACGAAACTCTTTAAACAAGGCTTCAGATTCAGTTCTGTCTTTCTCTTTGGCTTTCTCCTCACTTTCTTCTGACTTGGGAGGTGCATTGCCATACAGGGATAAGTAGCCGGCTCTGAAAAGGATATTGTAGCTGTACATAAAAAGTCCATCTTCTTTCCAGCTGCCTTGATCAGCTGCTGAGCCGATTTCACGCAGCATCAGATTCTGTAAATTATTCATCATAGCTTGTGTCAATACCTTCAGACCGTCCCCCTTGAGGTGCTTGTTGCTGGTGACCTGGAGAATACTGTGGTCTTCCTCCTCTGCCACATAACCAAACACTCTGTGCACCAGATGTTTAGCAAACGGCCTGAAGTCCAGTTTTTCGCGACTCTCCTTAACAAATGCCCCAAACGACAGAGGATCTTGAAGGAATGTGATATAAAACCCTCCCAGCTGCACTGTGAACACATCGCCATGTTTTTGCTTCATCCTCTCGATGAATTTCAATGTGTTCCTGCGAAACTCCAAGACATGACCCAGCCAAGGGATGAGCCCCTTATCCAAAGGGGGTTCTCCTGGTCGGTGCTGTCGAAACACACCAAGTAAGTACAGTCCTCCGATCAGACAGGAGAGTAAACCAAGAAGGAGAGGGAGCAGCAGTCCCATGACTGATTCCTGTAACAGCCACAGGGTGATTTGGAGTTAAGTTCGACATTCACTATGATGAAGAGAAATTTTGCTCCTCCCTTTCATGTGGGATCAATTTTGGTCTTCACGGGATTGCATAATCCATGAGGAAAACAATTTAACATTTAACTACTGTGTTCAGAGTGAGAATAGATGAATAGCCAGACAACCAACAGTCGGCCAATAATGTGGATTTGTGGTGAAAGTTCACATAAATGTTCTATGTTGATGGCGCACAACCAGTTAGGTGGGGCAAGGTTCACAAGAAGACAATCACATTCGGTCATACTTTCACTGTTCAACATTCACCATAAAGTAGTAATAAGTTACCTCTAGGAAGGATTAATATAGGTACATCTTATCTTATCTTATCTCCTTTTGTCAATGAAATGTGTAGGCATACCATGTGTCTGCAACCTAACCTGGAGCAGTTGCGGCACAATAAAAGAGTAAAGATAAACACAGCAACCAACTTTAAAACATATATTCGCCACCCACCCCCATTAATGCAAAGAGCAAGACAATATTAACAGGAAGTGGATAGGGCTGGGCAATTAACAGAAAATGTATTGAAACGTATTGGTTTTGGCTATGTTCCATGCCATATCACCCTGCTGCATGCCCTCCCTCCTCTCTCCCCCGCTGACCTTCACTCACATTACACATTAACAATAATTACCAACACTAATCGGAAGTTATTAGGACACATAGGCTACAGGACTTGAAGTTTACTTTGTGTTTGTTTCATTCGCTCTAAAGTTTAGGAGGCACAAATGTAAACAAATTGAAAAAAATATAAATTTTGCATGCATGCAGTTCACACACAACATGATACGTAACGTGACACACACAGGCAGGACATCAGGGTTAAAGTGACTGGAATGATCCGGATTCATGATCTGACATCATTGATCAATAACTGAATAAACGTGAACGTCAGTTTTTGTGAAGCGCGACAGGGACGAGGAGACACATCCAGGATTGTGTCCCACACAAATAGGTTACCATGGGGATTTAACCCGATGCAAAGTGAACGAGCTTCGTCGGACTGAGAACCCCTGAAGTTAACCTGATAACCGCAAATCCTGCTTCGTAGTACAGACCTCTGGAGTTGGCAAGGAACAAACTCTCCCGAGTTTGGCCTTTAGCCTAGCAAGTAGCATTTTTCTTTGTAGCATTTCGATCCCTCTGGGAATCCGCACTGGCCACCAATACATTTAAAATAAGGACACACCATAAAGAGGTTATGATAAGATGGTAAAGGCACCTAAAAAATAAGCAGCAATTTATTTCAGAATCCTGCAGAGAAGGTTCATGGTCATGTTTAGTATTTGTGTCACAGCTCAATGTGAGAAATGTCTGCAGGCATACATCAGGTGATAAGGAGAGCACAGCCAGTGTGAGGCTTTCTTCTCTGCTGGTTGGTTTTCTCTTATATTGTTGTTCTGATTGTCAGAATGGTAATATGATTTACAGATACTGTCAATTAACTGACCCTTACCCCCATCCCTAACCGAAATGTTCTGATTAGGTGATATTAAATGGAACACACCACCCATGGTGTTTGCACATCTCACATTTATAGACCTATAAATATGGCATAACCCCACCCCTGTACATTTTCTGTCCCTCGTGATGTGATGCACTTACTGAACCCGGGATGAGCCTGCCTGTTGTTTTATGTTGTGTGATGTGGCAGCAACAAATTTATTGGATCTGAAAAATATCTATAAATACAAACCATTTGCAAAGGTCATTGAGCAGTTATACGTGCAAGAGGCTTTGGTCTCTGTGACTATAGCACCACCTATTGGTTCATACATCTCATTGGACAACAAAGCAGCAGTTTCATCAGTTCAACCTTCAAACTGATTATAACTAAGTTTTGTTTATACAAGGTTTATTGAATTGTTGTTTTGACCTTAACAGCTTTTTAATGTTAAATTAAAGATGTTAATTCTGCGAATATAAATACCAGATTTTATGGAGGCAGCCATTCAATTCTTATTTCAATGCATGACCTTAATCCACTGTCTGTTAGTTCACATTAATAACTGCATTACGTAAAATGACAGATTTACATGACATTTCTACAGCTCCTCAGACTTTTTGAGTAAGCTGTCACAAAAGTTCAGACCATCTTCTCATCTTCTGTCCTGTGAGTGTTGTCCATCATCTGTCTGCCTCTTCATTAAAATCACATACATGGGCAAAATGCTCCAGATGCTGAAGATCTGATCATACACTGTTTTTTGGTTTGTGTACACAAGAACGTGTCAATATAATGCTGCTGCCATAAATGTGGGCACTGTTATGGTAATGGTAATGTCCAGGAACATATTCCTATTCCTAATGTACTGTATTTTCTAGTCAAAATTGTGAGGCAAGGAAAAATTTGAGTGTCGATGCTCTTTGAACACACCTACTATGAATGTGAATTATTGAGCGTATTGGTTTAATTGATGTGTTTTTACAATGTGCTAATATCTCTTATACGCAGGAGTTCAATGCATTCTTCCAAGCACACTACAATAAAACTGTCACCTGGTCGGACCGCATGGAGTTCGTGAATGGTTGGTATATCCTCATCATTGTCAGCGACACATTGTCCATCGCTGGGTCAGCGCTCAAAATTGGAATACAGACAAAGGTTTGTTTTTCATTGAGCTTCATTTTCTATAGTCTCAAATATTATTCACAGCAGGAAAGTTAGCCTGAGGGTAAATACAAACCTGCACAGATAAATGGTCTACTATGTAGTTTTGGAAACATTAATACATGTCTATGTTTGTGGCTTGATTTATGAAATTGACCTGGTTTTTACTAATTCTGTTCTTTATCCTATGTTGCAGTTCCTGACAAACTATGATGTGTGCAGTATCCTGCTGGGAACTGCCACAATGCTTGTCTGGGTCGGTGTGATTCGTTACCTTGGTTTCTTTAGGAAATACAATGTAAGAACTTCTTCATTGCTGCACTTTCAATTTAAATCAGCATCAGCTAGCCTGTCAAACCTAGAAAATGCACATCAGAAACTAGAATTTCACTCATTAGTGAAGAAACAATTCCTGGAAAAATGAATGGGTTCCTTCCTGATCCACAACACATCCTTCCATCAAATTTTGTTGTGACCCATCCAGTAGTATTTGCGTAATCCTGGTAATTAACAAACAAACACAGATTAAGACAAACTTCTTTGCAGATGTAATAACTGAACTGAAGACTTTTTATTCCATTCTAGATCTTAATCTTAACCCTGAGAGCAGCGTTCCCAAATGTGATCCGATTCTGCTGCTGTGCAGCCATGATCTACCTGGGCTACTGCTTCTGTGGTTGGATTGTGCTCGGGCCTTACCATGACAAGGTACAAAAATCACAATCATATTCTATGCAAAATATTGTGTTGCTCAATCAATAATCAAAATGTCTTTTTTTCCAGTTCCGGACACTCGACAGGGTTACAGAGTGCCTCTTCTCCCTTATCAATGGGGACGACATGTATGCCACCTTCCTGAGGATGCGAGGCAAGAGCTACATGGTATGGCTTTTCAGCAGACTCTACCTCTATTCCTTCATCTCACTCTTCATCTACATGGTGCTCAGCCTGTTCATCGCTCTCATCAATGACACCTACGAGACCATCAAGGTCAGACTGAGTAGCCTGTCTCACCTTCCAATATACACCATAGCATCAGTGCTGTATATTGCTGAACACTGATGTTATCTTTGCACTGGTCCGGCCTAATGACTGCACAACCTTTCTTTTTACAGCATCACCAGCAGGACAAGGTGCCAGTGTCCCAGCTTCAGGCCTTCATAGCCGAGTGCAGGGACCATCCTGAGTCTGGAAGGTACCAAACTGATGAGGAGCCAGCGTCCAGCTGCTGCATGTCTCCGTTCTGCTGCTTCGGATGAAGTGATGGGATGTGGCATGTGCCTTAGACGGGTGTTGGCCAAGAGTACAGAAGAGTATCCGGACCAGGTATAAGGGGGAAAAACTAAAGGAGGAAGACTTTTCCTTTTGCATTTTGAGAATAAAGTGGAAGTGTTGAGAATAAAGTCAGCTTCATTGGTCCTTCAAATCCAGTAATAGGAGCGATTAACAGCAGAAACTACATTAAAGCTTCAAACTAATAGCAGTATTTTGTTGTTGATTGTGTAATGATTGATTGAACGAATAAATACATTTTACCTCAAGTTGTGATGTTTGAGGGAATTATTTGATTTCTGTTGCATGTGTGTTATTCCTTGTGAGTGTTTAAAGGGTTTTTTAACTGGTTATTAAATTATCAACAGCAAATGACACAATGAGGGAGAAGATTGGCTTTTTCTATAAACTATTCTCAATGTCTGTGGTCGGGACAGATTACCCGCACATTTTGTTAGGGTGGCCGAGAGAGCTCAACGCACTACAAATTTAAAAAAAAACTAATTAAGAGTCACGACACGTGCAAATACAGAAACCCCGGTGCAAACAGACACTGGTCAGAAACATTTGCCTTGAAGTTGTTTTCTTAATGTGCATTGAGCTCTCTGGGCCACCATAGGTATGCACTCTACTGCTATTCCATTGTGTTTCTGTCTCAGCCTGTGAGTCAACTCTGTTGAAAAGGAGAAGACAGAATGGACTAAAGCATTTTTTATAAAAACTGAATCTATAAAGGAAAGCGCTGAAGGTGTGCAGGGATATCGTGGAGGTGACTCTTACCACTCGCTGCCTCTTGGGCGCCATCGCTTCTCATTTGTATAAATCGCCCACCTTTGCGTCCGTTCTCAGCCAATGCGCAGCTCTCATGCTGGTTGCCTAACAACGCAGCCTCCAATCAGAGTGAGGTTTGGTTTGTGGTCAGCTGAGGACTGGACTTTAAAAACACAAGCAGCTGCTGCAGAGCTTCAGCTTCAGCCTCAGCGTCGGCTCATCTCTGTCCTGCCGCCGCTGGCTCGTTCAAAACAGATCGGGGGGAGACTCGAGCTTCGTTTTTCACCTGAAACACGATGACAGCTGGACCGGAAGCTGCTGCCTCTGCCCGAGGAGCCAGCTGTTAGTTTGCCAACATCACGTATAACTCGACAACACACGGACCTGACACGTTTCACACCGCACCCGTGAGTATTAGCCTAGCTGTTATCCAGGTTAGCATGCGCTGCTAACTATCTGTTACTATGGGGTGTAACTGGGTCGTTCGCTCCTTGTTATAGTAGCATTTAACAACTCGAGCTTAAACTTGAAACCTATTTTACACACCAGGGGTGTTTGGCCGGGTTACCTTAAAAGTAGTAAAAGTTAAATTATTAAAGTAAATTATTTCAACACAACCTTTAAATTTAGAACTCTGGCTAGTAGTAGTTGTAGACTACTTGTAGTAGTTGTAGTCTACATGTAGTAGTTGTAGACTACTTGTAGTAGTTGTTGACTACATGTTGTAGTTTATATGTAGTAGTTGTTGACTACACGCTGTAGTAGTTGTTGACCACATGTTGTAGTAGTAGTAGTAGTTGACTACACGTTTAACAGGCTACCATTATATATAGATATATTATATATAACATTAAACCCAGAAGCACACTTGACTCAATCATCAGTCACCAGTCAGTGTTTCCTTAGATAACAGTTGTGTGTCTTCTGGTTTGCTTGATAACAACATTAGGGAGTTATCTGTGCTGCACACTGACACTTCGTGTACGATTAATGAACATGACCTGGATGTTTTCCTCTTTTGATCATCAGCACAATGTGCTCGACACTCCCTGAGCTCAAGTCATATGATCTTGGTACATATTGTGGGAGTGGCAGGTATAGATATCTAGCTCAACTTGTTTCACCGTGACTTGTTATATAATTATAATATTGTCCCAAAGTCACACAAGTCTAAATCGTACATTCTCACGCTCTCAGATTTATTGCCTTTCTTTGTAATGGATTCTTACATTTTTATCTTTTGTTAATCCACCGGCCCGCAGCTGAGATCATCTTACTATCCTGCATTTTAGATGCCAGCAGCCAATAGGAGAGCCCACTTAAAACGCCCAATCTAACCCCCACCCCCCACTGGCACACAGCTGAGAATTAATCCTGTATGGGCGATGCAGAGGCCCAGATTATCTACTGCTGGTCTATCTCATGGTTTTGTGCTCTGTTGCAGGGCTCTGTTCCAGTGAGAGGCTCTGATCCACTGCCTGGCTGATAATCCACCTCCTGGTTGATAACTCGTGATCTCACATCCCTGTGTCCTGATGTGTCGGTGACATGGGAGAGTGGTGGACAAGTGTGCCAACAGAGACATCTATAGGTAAATTTATCTTCTCTGCATCCGGGTGGATAATATAAGTATGGAAAGTCCCCTCAGCGATGCTTTTTGTAGAATCGGCAAGAGGTGACCCATATTTATGCCCTCATTTTGGAGAAGCAACCTAATTCAAGCCTTAAAATAGTAAAAGAGTGCAGTTGAAGTAAGGTTCATACACTCAAATCCATAATTTCTCTCATTATGTCTTTTTTCTCTCTTTTTTTTTTTAAAGGAAACTATGACATCTCAAGCATATCACATGTGACAATGTCACCCTCCAGACAGAACAACCTCATGTCAATGTACCCCTCTTTGCCCCTGTCAAAAAGCTCCTACAATGTGATTAGTGCCTTTTGCACAGAGGATAACACCCCTCAGTGCATTCTATACATTAACCAGGTAAGGAAATGCCCAGATTCACTAAATGTTTTGTAAAAATAAAAGGCATTTGTCCAGGTGCATCCTTCACATCAGATTTGATTGTGAATGTGATTAATTTTACCATTGCATGTCTGCAGGAATTATTCACTGTAAACTAGGACAATGACAAAAGTCCTTTCTGTCACAGGAGCTCTCCTCACTGGGCCTCTCTTCCACATGTATCGAGGCCAGCTCACCGGGGGGAGTCATTCTGAGCACAGTGCCAGCTTTGAACGCCATGTATGAGCTGCTGCAGATTCACAGACGAAATATGGGCACTTTAGAGGAGCTGGAGAGAGAACAGCTGAAGAAATCCAGCAACTTGGAGCACATGCAGATGAACAATTCCAGACTGAAGGCATGTTTGATGGAGGAGGGGAGGGGAATCTCAGTGTTACCTTTGTACTAGTGTAAATTCAAATCAAGACAGTACCTCTGGACGTACACAGGCAAAAACAAAACGACAAAGCTGCATTCACAATGAGCTGAAATATTTTCATTTATTTCTAAAATTTAGCAATGAAAGACATGTTTCCTTATCTCCAGGAGAGACACGCCTCTTTACATTACACTCACCAAATAACAAGTCATGGTTATGAGTCCCACAATGCACTGTGAAGAGTAAGGAATGCTATGGAAGGGCAAATGCTTTGGATTGCAATTTTACAGCACATATTTTCAGTTTTTTGAGAAAGGAGATGAAAATAGCAAATACTTAGTCCATGTGTACGGTCTTATTAAACCCTTAAATGGTGTCTTATGTTTTAGGAAGGTTGTTTCCTCAGGAATCTACTTTCATAGCGCCAACCCTGAACTGATTGCTTCCTCTCACTGTGCTCATTAGTTGTTTGTATTTCATTCCAGGATCAGCTGGAACTGTCCATAAGGGAGAAGTCGGGTCTACATGAGACGGAGAGGCAGCTTCAACTCAAAATCAAGACTTTGCAGAGCTGCTTGAAAACTGAGAAAGATGAGGTAGACTTTCTGTTTTTCCCTATCATCAGCAACACTCATGTTTTCAGTTATATAGAGTGTAGAAGCCTGAAAAACTCATGATTCAATGATATTGTGCAGGTTCAGAAACTCCAAAGTATCATTGCCAGCCGTGCTTCTCAGTACAGTCATGATGCCAAGAGGAAAGAGAGAGAAGCTGCTAAGCTAAAGGAACGGGTCAGCCAGCTACTGGTCGACAGAAAGGATAAAAAACTAGGTAAGCATGAATATACTGATACTTATCAGTGCAAGGTGTTTGGGATGAATTAATGGCATTCATCTTATCTTTTGTTCAAAAATTTCTTAGCAACTAATTTACTCTTCCCTATTTTAGCTATTGATGTGCTGAATTGCTTGGGACGGGCGGATGGAAAAAGGAGCCACTGGAAAACTGCAAAAGTGACTGCCAGGTATTGTGAAGGGAACCATGTCAACCTTTTGACCTTAGAATCTTTTAAATGTGTAATGTCAGTCAGGTTAATAATATCTGTAACTTACTCCCCATAGCCATGAGGGGGAGATGTACAAGTCCTTGCTCAGCGACTATGAGGCGAGTCAGAAGTCCTTGATGTTAGAGAATGCTGAGCTTAAGAAAGTACTCCAGCAGATGAAGAAGGAGATGATGCACATCCTGAGTCCGCGCCAGTCCAGAGGAGCCACTGCTGAGGACAGCCACGAGCAGGTATTCAAATAACTTTTGTTCTCATATTATTAACACACATAAAAGGTTTCCTGAGCAGGAAAGTATTCTTTTTATTAACCATTACATGTAAACTTCATTTGTGAGTTTGTTCATGTATATCAGATTAAATGGGATGAGATGTTTGAGAATTTCCCCTTTTCCTTTTTTTCTTTTTATTTGCTCAGGCTGATTCAGATGGGGAGGAGAAGATGGGGGACTGCAGCAGGGAAGCACTGGACCAATCCTGTGAGCATGCAAAGGAGCAGCTCACCAACAGCATTCGCCAACAGTGGCGGAAACTTAGGAGCCACATGGAGAAGTTGGACAGCCAAGGTAAACAAAGCACTGTCTCATTACCTGAAAAACTGCTTTATGAATATTTCTTTGACTAATGTAAATGTGTAGCTGTTCATCTAGCATTTATATGCATGCTGTATATCCGGAAGAAAATTTTGTGAACAATTGTCAATCAACGTTTTTTGTTTACGAAGCAACTCAAGTTCAAAACCAACTGGAGTCCAATAAAGAGGTGATACCAAGGGAGAGGCACGAGCATGAGATGGAGAAGATGAGGTGTGAAGTCCAGCAATGCAAAGAGTTCATTCATGCACAGCAACAACTCCTCCAGGTATCTGCTGATTTAAAACCAGAGATGGAAAGTAGATCTGTGCAGGTTAAACATTTGCTTAGTTTTATGTCAAAACATAAGAGGCTTCTCGTTATGAGTGTAAATTAAGAAATAGATGAGCACATCCGTACATCATTGAATATTTTGATATTATAAATGAAGATTTTCTCTGAAATAAACATGCGTGTGCTTGTTTCCTCCTGTGCAGCAACAACTGAACACATCATTTGACGACGAGACCGCAGCTCTTCTCAATGATTGCTACACGTTGGAGGAGAAGGAGCGTCTCAAGGAGGAGTGGCGGCTCTTTGAGGAACAGAAGAGAAACTTTGAGAGGGAGAGAAAGAACTTCACAGACGCTGCTATTCGCTTGGGGCGAGAGGTACTGAAGTCTTCTCTTCTGATATACTTCCTCAGTATTATTCAGTGTATATTGTGGGGGTTGTAATTGTGTTTCCTTTGTTCAATGTGTTTGTATTTCACAGAAAAAGGCCTTTGAGGAAGACCGTGCCTCTTGGCTCAAGAATCAGTTTTTGAACATGACTCCCTTTATCGATCGTAGAAGATGTTCCTCGTCTGATGGTCAAAGTGCCTTATCAATCAGTAAGTCTAAAAATATATCTGGTATAATATGCAGAAATTAACTGGTAGGGGTGAACTTCATCTTAGTCATCACATTTTGATATGCTGCTGTGGGACAGTTTTTACCTCAATGTCTCCTACATTGCAGGAAGTGAGCCAGAGATGAGAATGTCTTCCACTAAAGCTGAACTGACCAAATCATCAACCTACGCTACATTCTCCACTCCTAAACCCACACACAGTGCTGCTGTGCCATCCACAACTGAACTTTACCGGACACTCCGTCTAATACCAGACGGCAGGTATAATTTATTCACTTGTTACCTATTATCTTGTATGTCTGGGATTTTATTTACTGCCATTTACCAGGAGTTGTTTTAAATGTTAACAACATATCTCAGTGTCTTGAAAATGCAACAAATGTCTTACGTGTTAGTGTTGAAGTGACAACATGATTCTGCAGCACATTAATACAGTTCATCTCTGTATTTTCCCCTTTTCAGTAGCTCCAGAAATTCAAATCGAGGCCGCAGGCATGAGTGCAGCTCCATCGAAGACGGAGATACTCGCACAAAGTCAAAACACAGAGTTCGATGTGGAGACCTGAGTATCTTCTCTCTGGGTGAAGATGAAAACAACCTCACTTAAAGAACAAACCTGTGCCTTTTTTTTTAAAGAGAAGAAAATGTGACTCTGCGGTCGACTGGAGCATCAATCATGGCTGATTTATTGCAACATTGTATTTTTGTCGCTTTTTTATGGACGTGCACAAATCATTAATTCACCAAAGCTGATCAAACAAGAACGCACTTTAATGAAGCTGCCATTGTTTTTTTTACAAACAGAGCAACACTGGCAATTCTACGGTGGCAGATGAGTCGCACGCAAGCACATGAAGGGAAAACACCAATACAAACGCCACATTGAAATGCAAAAGCCACACTATGGAAACACAAAAGAAGTGAAACAAGGAAAAGAGTGACTTTTCACTGCGATAAAACCTGTTCAAGACAGTCACTCATCTCATCACTCGCTGGTTGTGTTGTGGCTTTTGTACTTGTGTCGCACGCCTTTGTCGTAGAGTTGCGGCTTTTGCTTTTTTGTTTTCCAATAATGTGCATGTGTGAGACATCTCAGCCGTCACACAATTCAGACGTTAAGCTACATTCAGAGGGGGAGGGTATCTACCGAGTAGAGATTGTTGAGCATGTGGAGTTGTTGATATCTTCTACATATTGGATGATATGAAATGTTAAGTTTGTTTCAATGGAACTTTAATGTATAAATTATGAGTTTTAATTGGAGCACGCGTGTGATCTGCTGGTCTGAGTACAGCACAATAAAGAGATTTCTAATTCAAAGTGCTTCGTTTTCTCTTTATTGTGGCGCCCCCTACCGGGTGAATGACCGGAATCCGGATGTCATCACCTTCTCCGCTTTTGTCTCCGCATCCAGCCCAGACCCGCTCCCTCCGCTTCCACACAGACGAAGAGAAGAAACGCCTCGAAAAATGTCGAGTTCCTCAAACCTCGTCGCCATGAAGAAAGTCGTGCAGCAGCTCCGCTTCGAGGCGAGCATCAACAGAGTGAAGGTAACCCCCGCGTTTCTTCGTTTTATTGCCTCGAACAACGCGGAGAAATGTCGACCGCGTCCGGCTAACGGCGCTAGCTGGTGTCCGGAGCTAGCAGCGTTAGCCCCGCAGTCAACAGGCGTAGCTTAGCATAGCAGGGCGTAGCTAGGAAGAGAAACACACAAGTTGTATGTGATAGAATTAATCAACGTGGGAGAAAGAGTAAATGATGTCCGGACTTTAAGATGGTGGCTGCCAGCATCTGTCTGTGAACTTTAAGGTAGAGGGTAAGCTAGCAAATAACGTTGCTTAAATATAATATAGCTTGATCGATAACTATATCTCAATAACCACTTTTTCCAAAGGGTAACTGCCACATATTCCCTCATGATTTGAAACCTGCCCCTCCAACCTGGCCAATGCATTTATTGCTAAAATTGTACTTTGGAAAGTTAAAATGGAGTTAATCAATAAGGTTGGTCGTGATGACGTTTTGTGAATCAGACTCAGGGTCCAGATAACATCCAAAACAACAGAGATTAAAATACATACAAAAACCCAAATTAGAATTTGTATGTTTATGCTTGATCCTTGGAAGCTTTTCAGTACTTTTGATCCCCTCCCTTTTAATTAATGTGTGTACAGCCATTTATTTGTGTTTTGTAACCTCATTACTTGACTCATTTTGACAGTCAGTTCTCCGGCTGCAGGAGTCAACACCTTCCAATCTGCCTTGAGAAATCTAGCATGATTCAATGACTCTGAAAATAAAATAATCCAAGTTTTATCAAATATTGTGTTTACAGCTATACGCTTCCTATAATACTGTAAATGTATATATAGAGGGAGAGATTATTTCATTTTCACAGTCATGAGCTGACAAATAATGTTAGATTTCTTAAGACAGTACAGCAGAACTCATTGTGACGACTCACCTTAAATCTGAAATGAGCGTAGTGTCCCATGTCATGGTTTACATTCCGGTACCTCTTTTGTCTCCAGGTCTCCCAGGCAGCTGCAGACCTTCAACAGTTTTGCATTCAGAACGCCTTGCAGGACCCTCTGCTCACAGGCGTGTCCTCCAGCACTAACCCTTTCAGGCCACAGAAGGTCTGCTCCTTCTTGTGAAACCACTGCATTCATTGGTGAGTCTGCCATTCCCGCCGACACACTGAAATATACTGTTCACCCAGCACAAGCAATTGGAGAGAATTTGTGATTGATTTTCATGATTTTCCTTAATGTGCGAAAAAAACAACCCGAACATTGATAGACTTCTCAGACCTCCCCGGCTTAATTGACTTCTTTGTCATAAACTTTTATATTCAAATTATTCCAATCACTAATATATTCTCCTTAAAAAAAAAAAAAGGTGATGTTATGTTGTAGAATAAGGATGTTTGGCAGTCAGTGGACAAAAATAGATTTATACTGTAAAGATATCTGGATTAAAATGATTGAGTTATGCATTCACAATTTATTTTAAGATTTCTATTATAATGTTAAGAAATTAATGTGTCTCTGATGGTACAGGTTGTTGAACAATATGAAAAAGCTGATACCAAGATTTTCTTATGATAAAACAAATCTTTTAAAATTCATTTTTAATAAAATCCAGTGCCTAATGTGTTGTCTGTTTTTGTCTCTGGTCTTATTTTTGTTCCGCAGGCCTTCATTTTGATGCTACAGGGAAAAGTTGACCTCAACACTGCTCCTCATGCCAAGCCATTATACTGCCACGGGATCTCTGGAGTGTAGAAAACATTGTCAGGAAGATGACCATCTATTTTCAGCCACAGTAGAAGAAAGGAGACAGTTTTATTTTTCATGGCACAGTGTGATTTTTGAGTAAATTATTGTGCCTTTTCTATTGTTCTATTTTAGTCATCGCTGTTCTTGACTTTTTTGTATTTAATGAATAAAAACATTCTTTCCTACTATAAGGTTTTATTGGTATTGCATTTTTTTTTCTGCTGGTCATCTGTTGGACAACATTACATGACACAAATGGCTGACAGAATGATGCTTAATGTATACTAGATGTGTAGTACTAATGGGAGGACGCTGAGGTGGGGATTTTAACTGTAAAAAAAAAAGATGAGCTCTGAAGACATTGATATTAGTGTATTTGATATATTACTCAATAAAATGAAGTAAAAAAACAAGATATTAAAAGAACTAGAGCTGCATACTCTACGACACACTGATGCAAATATAAATTGTATTTAGAAGTAATCTACTAATAACAAGAAAACAAATGTTTTATTGTATTCATAGAATTGGTTGTACATTTCCTAATGTCATGTGAAGTAATAACATTGAAATAATTGACAAGCACCCTAAGATTATATCGATCACATATTGCATCGATAGTATGTTGAATGATAATCAGTTGAAGAAATGCAGCGATATCAACTTTTCTATTCTAGAACTTCTCTGTGATGTTGATGAGCAGCAGCGTGATCAAAGGGCTGCTTCAACTCTCGCGAGAAGTGCCTCGGCTCCACGTGAGGAGCCAGTGTTCGGCTCCAACAGCTGAACTCAGGTCGGTGATTCCTTCCCGCCCCTGCAGCGCCTCCACCGGAGCCGGTCCCTCCCAAACTGCCGCTCGACCAGCCGAATGTAACCCAGACCTGCTCCGAAGGATGAATCATGGGACGACGTTACTGTGGAAACGACGGTAACTTATTTTGTTAACCTAGCATGTTAAACCCAGTTAGCCGAGGTACCGCGGGAGCTTAGCGGGGCTGCGATGCTACATTAGCTGCATGATATCGCTCGTCCTCCTCGTAGTGGGAACCTGCTCCAGCCAGATGCGGGGTATGGGGTTTTACGTTGCGTGATGCTAACGGAGCTCTGCCGACATGATGCAACAACCAGAGCTAGCGTTAGCCCGTCACAGTTAGCCGGTGAGTTTATTTAACTTTAAATGAAGACCGATAGCTGAGCGGTTCAGTCATCCGAGAATCGAGTGTGTTGACCGTTAGCTAACATCCCACGATGATGCTCCAGGACGGATCCACGCAGCTCCTCTGCCTCACAGCCAGCAGCGGGGTCCCCCTCTTCACGAGGGGAGCCCCCAGACAGCTGCCCTTCTCCGTCATCGGCTCCCTGAACGGCGTCCACATGTTTGGAGGCGGCCAAGGGGTCGTGTTGTCCTGCTGCGAGACCGAGGACGGGGGGAAGGTGGTGTGGAGGGTGTTCCAGGACAGCGTGATGCTCATCGCGGTGAGTGGAGGCGGCGGCAGCAGCAAAGAGGAGGGGGTTCGCCTGCAACGCCTCCTGGAGGATGTATGGAGCTGCATGGTGCTGGTGCTGGGCCAGGACGAGCTGGCCAACATGAGGAATGTGGAGAGGCTGAAGAGGGACCTGCGCTCCTGCTTCAGCCTCATTGATCAGCTGCTGGAGGAGAGACAAGAGGGCATCCTGGGTAACCTGACACACTGCGCTGACTCGCTCCTGCCTCCCAACCCTGCTCTTCTTCAAGAGGCAGTGGATGGCTTTGCTCAGGCCGCAGACAGCGAGTTTGGTTGCCTCCTCGTCCACGGGCGAGTAGCTGCAGCCACGGAGAAGTGGTGGCGCCTGGCTCCACAGGAAGTCGTGCTGCTCTCTGCTGTGATCCGGTCCCTCTCGGCCTCTGGATCAGCTTCTTGTGATTACCCGGTGTTCCTTCCCCACGGCAGCCCCACTGTGGCTCATCGCCTGCTCCGCTTCCAGCTGCTTCCCGGGGTAGACGTATGTGTGCTGTGTGGTCCCACTCCTTCCCTGCACAGAGCTGAGAGTGGGCTGGTGGGGCGTTTCTGGTCACCACTGGTGGAGGCCCTGAGAGACTGCCTGGCCGTCGGAGAGCGCTGCATACCAGCGTCTGTGTCCCTGCGCCCTGATGTGCTGGCACTTCTCCTCATCAACCGTGAAACACGTCGGTCAGTCTCCTGTGTGCGGACTCATCATCTGCCCAGTGACCCTCCTTTACCGTCAAAGGCCCGCTGCTGGGAGCTGCTGAAGCTGCTCTACATCTTCAGCACGACTCGCTACTTCAGCCAGGAGGAAGCATCGTGCGTCTCCCCAGAGGAGAGGTCTCAGAGAGGGAACACTGAAGACTTTGTCCTCGGATTCTCACACCAGCCACTACAATGCTACTTGGTTACAGAAGAATGTAAAAGCTACGGACTTCAGACAGCACAGCACCAGCTCTTTCTGCTCATCCCGCCATCAGTCCCCACCTTCGCTCTGCGTTCCGTGGCCACACAGACTCTCTCTGACATAGTTGCAGCCACTGGGTTTTAAGTGAAAAGTTTACGTTGCTACAAAGCCTAAGTTTTGGGTAAATCTAGTACCCTTTGAGCTAATAATATATCAATGAATGGGTGAATAGCCTTTCAACTGTGATTTGTATTCTTTACTGATATTTTGTGTTTTCTTTATGTTGTTACTGATGACTGCAAACATATAAAATTACACAATGACAACCACATCTACAGTAGAGGCATATAAATACCTTCCATCTGCTCATCATTTATAAAGACAGTGATTGACAGACTACTAATCCATCAGGCTTGTTACTTATTTAAAATAAGTTGCAACTTTTTTGCCTAAAAGTAGCAGCCACAAAATAAGTTGATTGGTCACTGACTTAGAAGAGGGAGGATGGTGCTGCTATCATTTCAGTGAGTTGGATTATGCAGTCAGCTCCAGGTTTTGTTTTCTCACTACATGAAAACCACTATTACTTGTGTGCCTGCAGAGGGCACTGTTGCTCATTAAAACGTCGCAGAGTGTTGCTTTAACGCCAACGAAAACTTGTGAACAATTGAAAATGCAAAGACAAAGTTTAACTCCTTTCAGCTTTGTTTGGCATTCAAGTGATCACTGTCACTGATGCATGTTTAGCTTGGCTTCAAGACTGTTGCCACAGCAATGAAACCAGAACAGTCTCAGTTTCACGTAATGTTTTCTTACTGCTGCTAAATATTATCCTTACCTCTAGGATTGCACTGTACCTCAAAGTGTATTAGAGAATCATGTGAAGGGGTTGCTCTGGGGTAAAACGTGCCTGTTGTTTATTGTTTGAACATTTTGAATTGTTTGGCTCAACAAAATAGTATATATTTGTCTTTTCTAATTCTAATCCTAAATATAATTGGTTGATTACTTTCTATGGGTTTTGTATCATTAAGGGATTTAATCCCATTTTCTTACTAATTATGTGATAATGACTGTTTTCACTCTGTGGGTTGAATGTTTCATTGCTAAACTAAAATGTGCAACTTCAAATAAC